TGCATAACTGACTAACGTCTGAGCAAACTTGCGATCTTTGGGAAGTGATTTCGATTCGGTTTTGCTTTTGGCAAATACTGCACATGCTTTCAAAGTTGCCACAGTCCCTGGATCATTTTCTTTAGTCTCTGTTGGTGCCTCATCTTCCAAAGTCTTGCATAATTCCTTGATATTTGCAGTCAAGACTTGTGGATTCTTTTCGGAAATTTCATTCATGACCTCCTGAGCAGTAGCACCCAATCCTTTATCATCAGTTCTGGAATACTGGAGAATCGCAGGCAAGTGACTCCGATTGTATACCAAAAAGGCAGAACGGTAAATGATAGGCGTTAGCGTGTCGAGAAGGCCAGCTGGAGCATTGGGTGCTGCTTCAATGCGCTTAGAAAATTCCTTGATCGCATTGTGAACAGTTTTGAAATCGCTCTTAGGATCCATCGTGTACCGTAAAAGTTGATAAGTTCTTCGATCATGGAGCTTCGCGTACTTATGCAAATCTTGGCTAGTACGTAAAGGATCTGGAAGAAATTGAAGAAGATATTCAATAACTGCGCCGAGTTTCTGTTTAACATCTGCGGCATCACCTTCGGTCACTCCGCCGTTGAAATCTTCGCATTTCTTAATATAAGCAGCAAGCACATCAGAGTATGATTTTGTTCGGGCCTGTATAGCGAAGAAAGCTTTCTTGGGCTTGGGATCGAGGGATCGAACCAACAGCAAAATGCGTTCTGCTCGAATTTTATCTGCATCGAATGGTTCATCGGAAGATAATTGTGATTGAGAAGCGCCATTCTTTGAAATTTTGGCCTTGGAAGGTGGATAAGTCAGAGGTAAGAGCTGCTCGAACATCACATGATCCAAGACAACGTTAAGTTCTAAATCATTGGCAAAGAAACCTTCGAAGATTCTCGAAGGAATAGCACCCAATGACGCGATCACACTCTCGTTTCCTGCCGCAATCTCACCAGTTGCTACACCCCATATCGTACCAAGTGTCGTCATGGCCTCTGCTCGAACGGCAGGCTTACGGTCTCTCGCTCGATCTGCCAAATTACTAAGAACAGAACCGGACTTGACTACTGGGCCATTAGGTACAAGTTTCTCCATGATATCCACCAAATTGAAGCTTGCAACAGCTTTCACAGCAGCAATTCTGACCTTCTCATCTGGATCATTTAATTTCTCCGCTAATGACTTGACCAATGCAACTTCGTCTTCTCGGTTCAATCCGATACCTCCAGCCTCAGTCACTAAGATTCGTCCAATAGCTGTGGTCCAAGCTGAACGAATGACTGGTGATTTGTCATTCTTTCGTCCAATGAAGCTATGCCAAACGGATGGATGTGTTTGAGAAAAGGATTGTGGTGAACTGGGTTTGACGAGGATACTTGTGATAGGCGTCACTGGATAGTCATCAAGTCGCACGGGAGGATACGCAGCAGGATCCATATTAGGAAGAGGTGGTGGTCCTGCCGCACCAATACCAGATATGATATCTCCCAAAGTCTCGGTAGCCAACAAGCGCAATTGTATATTCTCTGCTGACAATTCTGCCTCTACTTGAGGAATAACATTCTGTAAAACAGAAGGCGATGCGCGCCATAGTTCTCTTAGAAGTCTGTGGGCCTTTTCGAGTTCTTTCAAATCCTGATCCGATGGTCCTGTTGGGGCATCATCTCCATCTGAGTCCGCGTCATCCTTTCGGTGTCCATTCGATTTGCCTCCACTTGTAGAAACTTCCATCATAACGTCGTTGAAATATTGACTGACGTAACGAGACATCTTATCAGAGCAATCATTACAGATAGTCTTTGCCATATTGTATGCTTCTGGGAGATCTTTCAATAACAGTGTAGATTGCTTGTCGTCGGCCTTTGCACCATGCTTGCCTTTACCTCCACCAGGCGTAGCAGCTCGTAGAAATTGTGCAACAATAATATCGATCACTGGTGCTCCCACGACTGGCGCTTCGTCGACCAAAGTAACCAAACATTGTGACATATTATATTCGACATCTTTGCTTATTTGCTCGTCTGTAGAGGACTTCAAAGAACCGGAACATATATCGAAGAAGGTGCTGAAAAGATGGAGCATGAGATCTTCGGCATTAGGAAGATCTGTCATCAAAACGATACTCTTAACTTCTGAGAGAGATGACAAAACATATTTGTGTTCGGTGTTGTATGGATGACTAGGATTGGCAAGGGCTGGTAGAATGATACCAACGAAGAAGGTGAATATATTCTAATAAAGTTAGATCCTAGTTTAGCAGTGTAAGAGCCCGAGAATGATATACCTTAACCTGCGAACTAGTATATGGTGCATCAGGAGCGCAAAGCTTCAATATATCCACCAAACAACAAGCTGTCCATGCTCTTACTCCGTTGTCCTTATGATTCAATAAATTTTGCGCCGCGAGCTCTTTAGCCACTACTGTCAATGATGATTTATCTATTTCCTCCTGATCCATATCCCGCAGCTCACTCGCAAGCTTTTTAAGTCTCTTTAAGAGAGTTTCGGTCGCAATGGGCTTTCCTGCGCGCCATGATAAAGCTTCGTTGAATACTAAGCTGGTAGAGGGTTCTTCCGGTTCAGGAGATTCGATCGCACCGCGGCGCGGAGCCATTATCAATTGAAAACTCCAATCGCGGAGTCGTGATTTTGGTAATTATTTTCGTTCCAGTCAATTTGAAGATGCGCACAGTGATGGTGGGTTATTTCGTGGTTGAATGCGTTTGATGGTGGATGTATTGAGCTTATTGCATGGGTGGATGGAGGAGAAATCGCGTGTAGTACCAAAGTGCTCTGAGACGCGTTGATTAAGCTTTTTTGGGTAATCGCGCTACGGGTACATAGCGCATGGATGACCACAATACAACGATGTATCGATTAGTTGGAAATCTTTCGACTTCTTGATTGTTTAAACTTACTCTCGAAAATCCGTACTTTTCTATGGTTTGAATCTGATATGTACAATCCGTACGATATGGACAATCTGTACTTCTCTATTGTTTGAATCTGACACGGACGGACTATCTGACATGGACAATCCGTACTTCTCTATAATTTGAATCTGATATGGACGATTTGTATCTATCGATTGTTTGAAGTTGATCTAGACTATCTGGTAATCTTAGAAGCAACTGTGATAAATTTCACTGGCAGTGTCGCCGTGGTCCGTTTATCATGCGATGCCTGGATGATCAGATCATAGCCGGCCTTTTCATCATCTATACGAGTATGGCATGCTGTAACGGATAGATATATCGTCTGCTCGGATGAGTGCATACTACCTACTTATAGACAGTTTCATCCACAGCCACAGCATACAAGTCGAGCTTGGAATCATGCTTGCATTCTAGTACTGTAAGACATTGCTCTAAAACTTGATATGCTAGTGGTTGGCCTCCTCGTATGGGTGTAAATCCTTTTCTCCGGATCCTCAGGATATATAACACGTATTGTATGGACGACTAGATACCCAAGTGACACACTTGGCGAAAGTTAGTTTGATATCTTTGACTGGAAACTTGATGTTGCTATCCTTTAGGAAAGAGCGCGCACCAAATTGCTGCTAGGTTCACCATTTTAAGGGTATGATAGTTCAATATCCACGGACAGTTCCCCCATACAAGAACTCTGCTACTCCTTCACGAAGAGAATGATCAAGTATAACTTGGAGGCCAAGCTCGGGATCATGGCACTGGACATTAATTTGAGAGACAGCTCCCACAAACCAGCAAGCCCATGAGTGAACCAACTTGTCGACCTTTGTACCATGTACATATCTGAATCGGGTCTTATGGTGATCCATTTCTCTTGTTTTCAGCCCCCATGATTGAGATGATTATGGCGTTAAAGATATCTATGGTGGAACGATGAATGACTTCAATACTCGGTATCACCATCAAATCTTGTTTTCATGCCTATGGAAACATTCACTACAAAGACAATTCAGAGATTAGCAAGAGAAATCTTTTCTGGGGCGAAATGACGCTCCGCTGGCCCTTCGGGGACCACTGCCGTGGAGGCAGACTATTGGGACCTGGTTAAGAAAGGTGCTCTTTATCTTTGTGTGGATTCCTAAGAAACGGCGCCAGCTATATCTGGTATTGGCACTCAAACCTGATTTCTGTTGGACATAATGCACTGCCCAGGTGAACTACGACCGGATATGATATGATGAGAAAGAAGTGAATTTATTCTATGTGGCTAGCGATATTCTGAGTGAGATATCTGCTTTCCATTGAGTAGGTATCAATATCGAGAGCTTTATCTGGCCATACCTACATATTTCCTTTGAAATAGACTTGCTACTGTTGGACTGGATCAGAGATATATCAATTGTACCTATTTACCTAGTAGGTACTGGTATGCTATCTTTGAGAGCTTGAAAAGTTTCTACTATGATATTTCAATGTTTGCTTGGAGTTCCAAGGTTTGCCCAGGTGGAGAAGGCAATGTTGCGGTTGCCAATTAAGGAAAAACAATTTCAACCAATCAAGGTATACTTCACTCTAGCAAGAAGCTGAGATTACATAATTCCTGGATAAAATTAGCCAATCTAAGTAATACTTCTTTCAATAATTCTTCTATTGCTGTTAAGAATTCACCTCAAAATTGATTTCGGCAAAGTCCTTCGGGCCGAAGCAAAGTGTCAGCCTTCTTCCGTTAAATATCTCCTCAGTTCTCAAAATATCAACCTTCTCCTCTCAATCTTTCTCTCAACCAAAATATTAACACGCAAGATAAACAAAAATCGTCGAATTGTTGATCAATTTGACATACCACATTCGTTTTTGAGTCCATCCAATTACCCAAATACTCTCATTGTCGTCTTTATATCTTCCCCTCCTCTTTTCTCAATCTCTGAAGGACCCAAAAGTACTTTCACTTCCCCCAAAACACAAAGTCTTCTCAGAAGCTTCCTTCGACGATACTTGACTTCGTATCCTTCATCAAAAAATAGAAAGAACTCTCTTGGATTCATTACAATCATCAAAATGAAACTCCTTTTCAGTATTCCACTCGTTGTCTCTGCGCTGGTTGCTGAGGCTACTACTGGTGGAGATGCAGGTAAATGTCACGTTCCGCTCTTCAGAATATCAACTCTACAGAATAATTTCTAACTTCAATTCATACAATATAGTCAATAATCAAGTCCACAATGAGGCTCGAATCATATCAAACGGAGGTGTTGATCTACCAGGAACTTCACTTGTCACCGTCAATAATGTTGTTGTCGCATCAACATTATCTTCTGCCTTCGGCGACTCCTCTGCAGCTGCATCAAGTCTTTCTGATAATTTCCCCCCTGTTAGCCCTGGTCATACAAATGTTCGCAGCAGCGCCTATAAGTCTACAACTGTTGTTCTCTCTACTATCACTGTAACGCCACAGAAATCAGTTGATGTCACTTCTGTTACACACGCTTCCACTTCTCCTTCTGCCATTGATAGCCAAGGGTATGTAAATCAATTAATTTTCATGTACTATACTAACGAAATATAGCGCTGCTCTTGTTTCTCCAACCAATTCTGGTGCTGCGATTACATCTAACCCGTACGTATTCAACCATTGACAATTTAATAGATGGGAGTTGATTTATTTCTTAGATCTCCGGCCACTTCTGATATTACTAAGCCAATAGTATTGGTGATATCTAGCTTGGAGCCAGAGCCATCTTCTTCAGCTGCCACTATTGCTCCACCTTCGTCAACTCTCCAATCTTCTGCTGTTCAATCATCTATTGTTGAATCTTCTGCAGCTCCAACATTAACCGCTGAATCCGCTCCAGATAACCAATACACTTATTCAGCGTCCCCTACTAAATCTTCGGCCGTTCTATCTACTGCTGTTCCATCATTGCCTTCGCAATCTTTGACAATTCAACCAACACCACTTCAATCATCTGCAGCTCAAACATTGACAGAAAGCGGTACCAGGCAAGTTTCGATTGCTTCAAGCCTTCCAACAATCGTTACCAGCGATGCCCCATTTCTCAGCGGCACTGCTTCAACTGTTCAATCATTGAGTAAGTCTGTGACTTACCCAAACCATACGATTGCTTCAGTTTCTTCGACATCCAGTCTATCTACCTCTGCTACCTCTATTATTGTCGGAACACCAACAAGCAACTCTGCAAGCATTCCTACAATTACTCCACCATCTCCACCATATAAAAATGGGACAAGTACTCCAGCAACAGACAACATTGGCACAACCTCAACCTCAGCTACAAGCACAACTACAATCACTTCAACAACAACTCGTACCGGTACCATTACTACGACCATCACAAGATCATCTGCTGATGTTACTTCTCAAAGTATTATTGGCAAACTTCCTGACACTGATGGTCCATACCTGGCTGCGCCCACTACAGAAACCTTCACTTCTGGTGGACGCACCTGGACTACAACTGAGACTGGTCCTCCAAGTACTGTTACTGCATCCCTCATGTTGAATCCGTCATATTCTGCTTCTAGTAATGGTGGTGTTGTTTCTTCTAATGGTGCTGCGCCATCTTCAGGAGCTTGCACTTGCCCATCTCAAGTCACGGTCACTGTTACCGCAACACCATTTGTTGTTACAGGAGGTACTCTTACAGCTACTGGTTCATTAGTTGCATCATCTGCCAACTCTCCAGAGGAATCTAGCGGCCCTTCATTACTGAGAGCATACTACCCCCCACCCCAAGCATCATGGACTACACACAGCATTCCTGGATTCATCGGTGTTACCATTCCAAGTGGAGGCATGTCCTATCCTGCTGAAGGATCGGCTACTTACTCACCTTCTACTACCCCCACCAATTCTCCTTCCCTCTCCCACACTCATCCATACATGAGTATAGAACCCACACCAAATCTTAGCGCCTTCTCCAACTACTCCACAACCAGCGCCGGTAGTCTCTTAGGCACAGCAGTAGGAACCGCCGTTGGCACAGTCATTACTCCAAATCATGCCCCTACTACCAAAGCATCAGTTGGCCTTCCACCAGCCGCTTCAGTCACCCCGACCATTTACACTGGCAACGCTGACGTCAATGTCGCCGGCACCGAATCCGTCGCCTTAATCGTCGGTTTCGTCGCTCTGGTTATTCTTTTCTAATCTTTAAAATACTTTATTTGAAGAGAAGAAAAGTCGAACCTTGTTGTAGAACAACTAGATGAATCGAAAATATGGTGTGGCGATGTGTTAAGAATCTCAAAGTGGTGGATATCCAGAAATGAGGAAATTGCATTTATTTATTTACTTGCTCTTTCTTGCATCTTTCTTTTACATATCTGACTACATGCCTTTAGGATTTTTCGTCGGAGGATAGGATGGATAGGGTTTGCAGGATGATCTTGCCAGCGGCGTACAGATTAGGATTTTAGAGGCTCAGATTACTTTCTCTTATTTAGTTAGTCTTTATGAATCGACGATTTCATGAATCGTAGAAAATACATCGATTTAAAGTGCATGTGAGTACAAGATTATGTGATGATACCTACTTTATACATATGGCCACTAAGAGAGAAATTACTTCACTGATTTCATTCCTGAGTTGACTCATTTTGGTTACGTGTGATGGAGAGAAGAAGTATTACGTAGATAGATATGACTCTTCGTGAATGTGTGTTACGCAAATTTTGAAATTCAAGATTGACAAATATGGGATTGGCTTTCGGACGACTCTGGCTATCCACTATCACAATGCTCATGTAGTTTGAATTATCTCCTAATCATGATGCTCTGGCCTGCTTTATTATCAACACTCAGATTCTTGGAGTGTGCAATACAAATTTCGGAAGAAGTATCGGAATTGGGACTCAGGTATCATCCTGAAACACGATCCCCTCCATGAAATCCGGTATATCAAGCCCACATCTCTGTCAAGCGATTAATGGAAAGGAAGGAGGGGGCGTTTTGAGACCTCTCTCATTTTGAAGGCTACGAGAGATCGTATTATTGTTATAACGAGGGGTATGAAGAGAGGTGAGTATTAAGTTGCGTGAGTCTATGAAGTCATTTTCGTTTACATAAATTAAATAGACTATTAGGTGGTGGTGTAAGTAAGGTCATTGTAGAAGGAGTGGATTTATAAAGGTCATAGGACTGCTGGGTAGCTTAAGCGATACACTTGGATGTTCGTGAATTAGATAACTATAAGTTTGTCTGAAGAATGAAATCTACACTTGATTCCTACTTGATATACCATCATTCGAGGTGCTTTTTCCAACCAGCATAAGGATTCTAACCATTTACATTAAAGAATCGAACTGATCAGGAAAGATCATGTAAGAACTGATCTTCAATTACTCAATCAAGCTTGATTCATTCAATCACTGCTAGCTGGAGATTCTTGCAACGAATAACAATAGGCAGCCCCAGAGAAAACTATTCATGTAGACTCAGTTATCTCGATGTCCTCAATATCTATGATGATACTACAACTTTGAGAGATATATACATAATATGATATTATTTCAGTCTCCTGGAGTGACTTAAAACATAGGTACTACTATCGAACATTTCAATGTCCGGTTGAAGACACTCTAGATATCTCAAAGATTTGAGACTGCAATACTGATATATATGAGATAGTGTCTCAGTCGAATGCACCAATAACTCTAAAATCTCTTGCAAATACGCGAACCGCCGTGACGTGACTCTTGACGAGCATGAGATCACACTTTCACCAGATTTTAGAGTGGGCAAAAATTGGAATGATTGTATTTCCACCGTAAGATTACAAGCTCCCGTGGAATATATAAGTAGCCTCCGATGCTCAAGAGAATGTCATTGTCTGGGACCTGCCCAACATGTAGAAAATTGAAGAAATCGCCAAGGTTCAACGTCGTCTAGATCTATGCTGGTAGTAAGGTTACCTTCCACTTTTACTTTGATGAAGATCACTCGTATTTGATCCTTTCATATGACTGAATATACGTAGCATTCAATACAAAATGTAAGTCAATATCAGAGAATTGCTAAACAGAAATGAAATCTAAATGTGGTTGTGGTTGTGGTTAATGTCATGGTTATGGTTAGGTAAGGTTAATATGGTCAATTTCTCGCCAAACCTTGAAAGTCATTTTACTCGAAACTAGCGGCCGCATGTGGGGTTCAAAGCAGGTCCCAACCTAAATTAACGATTGAGCGCCCGCGACGTCACTTTTTTTCCTCCAATCAACTTTTTCAAAGTTGATGATGCATGGCATTAGCATTGGCATGGCATTCTTAACTTCTCAATCTTTTCACTCAATTACCACATTATTATAAATTCCTAATTACGACCCTATGAAATTCTTTTCTTGTATAAATATTGTTCTCTCATCATGGTAGCATCCTCATCCTCGTATACCAAACTCGAATCCGATCCTCCTACAAAACCAAGTCTACCATGGCGATTCAGCTCGAGCCTGATTATGGGCGTCACAGGAGCGATATCCCGATTCTTTTACTATGGTCTGAATAATGTTGAGGCTATTGGGCTAGAAGGATTCAAGGCCACTCTCGATAGACGAAAGAACCCCGAGGAGAGAGAAAGAGGCCTGATTACTGTCTCGAATCATGTCAGCGTCTTGGATGATCCATTAATATGGGGGGTATTGCCCCTCAAATATGGCTTCAACCCCTCTAATCACAGATGGAGTCTTGGTAGCTATGATATCTGCTTCGAGAACAAGTCTGCGAACCCACCAATCATCTGCCATTCCTGTTATTGATTGTTCTACAGAGTACTCTCCGCGTTCTTCACCTTGGGCCAAGTTTTACCTACACATAGAGGCGCGTACTCCGAAAATGGCGGTCTCTTTCAGCCTACAATTGCACAAGCCATACGAATGCTTTCCGCGCAGCCTTTTACTACACGTTACGAACCACCGATACAAAAGCCAAAGAAGAAAATCTCCATGCGACCAAAAGATCCTGATATTGTCGATCCTTTCTCTTCCGGCGACCTTAGGTTTACTACAAACGGCATAGATGTATTTCCTGCACCCTCTGCATATACCTCACGAAAACATAGTTGGATACACATATTTCCTGAAGGACGAGTACACCAGCATCCAAATAAGACGCTACGTTATTTCAAATGGGGAGTCTCGCGACTTATTCTTGAGAGCGAACCTTTACCTGAGATAGTTCCCATTTTCATCGACGGAAACCAAGACATAATGCACGAATCGAGAGAGTTCCCGCGCTTCCTTCCTCGTATCGGTAGGAACGTCCGAATTGCTTTTGGAGAATCAATCGACGGAGAGCGCATTTTCGGAGACCTCCGCCTTCGCTGGCAAAAGCTCGTCCAATTGCAAAAGGAGGCCCTAAGGAGGAAGGGGCTTGACGATAACATCGAGATGGGTGAACTTACAGAAGGTCTTAAATACTACAAAGAGGCAGTTGCGTTACGGGAGGAAGTCACGAACAGAGTTAGGCAGGAAGTGCTCAAAGTAAGAAGGAGCTTAGGATATGAAGATGAAGATCCTAAGCAGGGTTTGGTCGAGACTTGGATCTCAGAAGGTAGGAGCGATGGCAAGAGAAAGAAAGATGGCAGTTGGGTTGGAGACACATGATGAGAGACATATGATGAGAAACACTTATAGACCTAATGAATATTGATGAATCCCTTTGCGCCTGCCTTCTAGAAGTGACTTTGATTGGTCTAAACTAGTTGGCATGTTTGAGGTACTGGTTTGTGGATGTTCTGAAAGTGTGATCTAGAATATTAGATGCAAAATTTTCTATTACGTTCTCGTTATATATTAGCCTTCCAACAGCGGGAATATTCAAGGTATCGGTATGAGACTATCCTTGGGATGTGATTTAGACTACAAGGATAGGTTCTTGCAACTCGAGTTCAACCTAAGTGACAGGCTGTCCCTCAATAACCCTCTCCGCAGATTGAAATTCGCTTGGTGGTTTGACACCAAATCTTCCACTCAACCTCCACGTCACGTTCAACATATTTCTTTCAATGCTTCCAATCTGACCTAATAGTCGGCTCTTATAAACAGCCGACTAATTCCTAGTCGGGGAAAGCGAATGTTTCCGGAAAGCGAATATCCCCGTGAGATTTTGGATATAGATTTTGTGATTTTTACTGAAAAATATTTCAATTTTATAAATAATACTATAAATTTTGAAACAATTTAAAAAAATCTAATATTATTAGAAAATTACAATCTTATTAAATATAATCATATAAAAAGTTTAAAAATTATTCAAAAATTGAAGGTTGTATATTAAGAATAAAATTAGATTTCTAATAAAATTGAATGGTTTTGATGTATTTCGTATTCAAAATCTTATAGGAATATTCGCTTTCCAGGGATATTCGCTTTCCCCGACTAGGAACTAGTCGGTCGCTTGAAGAACCGACTATTAGTTCCACAAACTGCCGGTAGAATAATCTTCATGCCCTCCAATCCATTTTTCTTCGCCAGATTTTCCTCATTAAACAAAAGGAAATATTTGCAACACGGGAACATTATATGATGCCCAGCTCTTTGGCAACGGACAGACTATTCGCATTCCTGTGTCGATTGACGATAGACCATTTGAACCTCCAGATGGGCCTAGAATCAAAAACGACGTCCAAAATCACCTGCAAACGCTCCGTTCCCAGCGGAGCATATATCGTCCCCTTCAAATAGAACTTTTCCATTCGACAATATATACATCCCGCGACACGAATTCAAATACCTGCCAATCTGCATCCAAAAGAATCATTGTGACGCGGAACGAAGCATACGATACAAGATGCTTTCAGTCACGTTGTCTCGCTAATCTTGATTTCTCGAAACATCCCCTGCCAAGCATTCCAACCGCAGCCACCACAGAATGAAAACGACCTCCCACTCACCCGTGGACACCCACGAACATTAAATAGTTGCAAGCGGAAAGCTAAAAAACTATATAATAATGATCAGGAGAAGATGGATGTAAAAAGTTGAAAAATATCAACGTGTGAAAAGATGCCACCAATATCCTGCACAATGTTATCCCTACTCTTGTCACTGTTTTTTCTGCTCTCCCTCGCCACAAGCCACACCCTCACATTCCACAACCTCTTTTCCTCTCCGCGCCTCCTGATCTTCACACCCAATAGCGGCAGCTATTCTATCCCACCCCAAACAATAGCGGCGTCTCAACATCTTTCACTCTCGATCCCTGACTGGAGCGGCAATTTCAAAGCTGTAGACCCTGATCTCTATGATATAGAAAACCCAGGACCGGAGAAATACATTTTGGGCGAAGTATGTTTTGCTTGTTGGCAGGATGTCACGTTTTTTGACGTCAGTGCGATTTGGAATTGTTGTGATAACGAGGGTGTGCATTGGATGTGGGGATATGATGATGATGATGAGAGAAATGGGACTGGGGATGGAGAGTACGAGTCGACGAGAGAGGCTGTGATTGAGGGAGATGTATCTGGATGTGAGAAGTTTCCGTGTGAAGGGGTTTATAATGAGAGTGATGATGTGCAGACGAAGACGACGACGAAAGATGCAATTTGGGTTGTTTTGGGCCCGTAGGTGAACGGAGGAACGGGCAGGAAAGAGCTTAGCACATTGCGGGTGTTATTGCTTGAGTCAGAATCGGATTTCGCATAGATGGAAACAAGAAATTGCCGTTTGGGAGTCCTGGCAATGAGCTTGTATGACTAAGTGGTAGAAAGAATCGAGATAGTTTATAAGAGATGGTAGCAACTACCACAAGTTATCGATTTCCTTCACTATGTACACGAATATCCACTCCAGATTTACCATACAATTGCTTGGCGATCAGATGCCTATGTAAACAGCCCAATATTCTTCCCTCCAATGGTCTTTCCTTCGTGCAATCGCGTAATATCAATCTGAGCCTTGCCAAAGTGCTTCAGACGATCGTAGTGGCAGGTCCGGTAACATCTGTTACGCCATCGTCACCGTCGAGTGCTCGGTCTGCGCTAAGAGCCGATTTCGCATTCGAACTAGAAATAGAATTGTGAGCTCTGTGCAGGTGTAATAGAAGGCAAGGGAGGTAGAATGGAAGTAATGCCCTTGACTGGATCTTACATTTTGTGCGCCTAATAGTTTCCTGTGTTAGCTGTGATCGGAAGAGGAGTTCGAAGGTAAAACAAAAATCAAGGTGCGGAGTCAAATATGATAGTAGAGTGAAGAGGGAGTGGCAAGGATTTGGAGATGCACTTACAAAAATGTTGACAAGTCGCATAGTGACGAAAATCATAACAAACATGAGGAGGAAAACAAAACAGAGAAGCATTGCTACGATTTGATTTTTCTGCATATTGTCGTGGATGAAGAGATAATAGCTTTGTTGGCAGGAAATGTTCGTGGGTGGTGAATTCGTCGATGATGAAGGATCTAATGGAAACTAAACGTTGGGAAGTTTAAAATGGGAGTTATTGAAGCAGGACTTACTTGGATGCTTTGGATATGTTGGAATACAATTGACAGAGGGGTGAAAGTACTCAACAATTGTTTTCAAAAGGTTTGACAATTTTGAGTTGGCTTTATTCAGTGGTTGCTGGGGGTCACATATTTTGGTGCGAGTTGTTTATATTTACTTTCTATAGATCAGACGATATTGAGGTAAGGCTAGTCATAAGCCTCGTCATCTTCTGTGAAGGAGTGAAGTTTGGTTCTCGCTAACTTCCGACAGAAGAATTGGGTGGATATCATTCTTTTTCCCAAGGTCTTTGAAAATACTCAATGCTTCGCCAATCTCATTCTGGCTGAGAATCCGTGATATGTTTTCGGAGAGTGTGTTTTTACTCTCAAGAAGAACTTTTGCACCGAGAAGGATTCTTATACATGATGCAAACATACTTGGCTTTGATGTCCATCCAAGAGGTCCATCACCTTTCTCCATAATTATGTTGAGCTGTCGCAGTGCATCCAGAATCCATTTAGCAAGATAGCTATATTGTTGCCATTGATACTCCCCGGATTTCTCGGTCTGAAGAATCTCGAGGACCTTTGAAAGAACATTACTCCAGAGTTTGGCTTCTCTGACTTCATCAATGAAGAGATTTTGTTCTTCTTCAACAAACAGAGCATCATCTTGTTTCATTGCTGCTGCAAGTTGGTCTTCAGGCGAACATAGTCCTGCATAGGCTCCATGAAATATGAACTCATCACTACCTGTGATACGGCAGATGACATTCCAGCCGAACATTTGATCTTGTGGATATTTAAGCCTCAGCCATTCTGCGAATTCCTCACATGCAGCCAACGGAATTAGAGGCTTGCCTACAATAGAAGAGACGATTTGTGCTCCAAGTTCGCGGACTTCATCGTCATCATCATTGAGGGTGTCGTAAAGGGCGATGAGGCATGGAAGTACCTCAGAGCCCCACTTAAACTCATCTGGTAAGCAGGCAAAGAAGTAGGAAAATCCTTTTACGGCAGCAAAACGGTTGTCAAAGTCCTGTTATAAGTTAGCAATATTTAAAGATAGTTCGTGTATGGGAAAAGTCTCACATTGTGTGACTTTCCAGCTTCGCTCAAATTTTCTGCTCTTGCCATGAAGTTTATCTGGGCGTTGACATCGCCCTTGGACTTCAGCCAATTAAACAACATGAAGGTACCGCTTGTTCTCATCAACGCATGAGCCAAATGCGGTCCAGACTTACCATTTTCAGAGCCCATGAAATGAGCAATTTCTCCAATGTCAAGAATATATTGATCCATATCGCATTGCTTGATACTGTTGAGCATTTTCGAGTATATGTCGTATGCGCTAGGCTCAACTTTTTGCAAGTCCGCTGGGCTTACAATCACTGCATCTAAGAGCGCTTCCAAAACCATAATGTTTTGATTTCTCCAGGCCTGTAGCACGCATTCCAAGGATGCGGTAGCTGTATCAAGATCTATATCGCAATAGTCGTTCAAAGCCTTCTTAAGAGATTGTATATCTTTGGTCAATGCAGAGATATATACAGCTTCCCGGGCGGTCGCTTGATGTAACAAAGCGCCTCCTACTCGGCTTTTCTCGTAAGAAAGATCGGTATTAACTTTGGAGTAGCCACAGCCATCACCATTTAACAACAAATTATGTGAATTATGGTTATCGATGAGTTTTTCTCGAGAATCATTGTTTAAAGTGGAGGCTGGAAGAGCGAGGAGGATTTGGTAAATGAGATTTTTGAACTCGATGTATGTCGCCAAAGTCTCTGGACACTGACCAAGGTGACTCAACGCCTCGATATTATCTTTCAGACAAATAAGGTCTTGAACGCCTACATTTTACAATTAGGATTGAGAAATAAAAGCGAGTATTCGAAACTTACTTGGAGGGCTCGAGAACACAGCAAGACGGCGTTCCAGCACAAAATTGGTCGTCATTAAAACTCCATGGGTATAATTAGTGGATGGATTCGATATTCTGAGCAGTTTCTGTAGGTCAGGTAGCCACTCGTCGTGAAGCATAAATGTACACATAGTACGGGCTGCTAGTTCTCTAGTATGCCAGTATTTGCTTCCCAAATGTATGGATACCCTTTCCTTGATTTCGTTGCGAAGTAAAACTGGTGGACCAGCACGACGAATGATATCCAACGAGGGAAAAACTGACTCTATAGCGCCAATCGCAGGGGTGTTAGTATCCTCCGTGCTTGGAGTCTCTTTGTTTAATAACTTTAGCAAGATTTCAGGCAGCTCTGGGTATTTTTCGTATGAAAGTTTCGTCGAACGCCCATCCCAGCCAGCCTCGATAGAAGCTTTGTTTTCGTTGGTACCAAACAGACAGTCAATAAGACTTCTTAACAGTAATAAACCGCAATTTCTGATTGCCCAACTGTTTCAATTCAATTAGCACATAGTCAGTCTGTGGACATTGGTATCATACATCTCAGAAGTCAAGCTGTCCGCAGCGAGTTGTAAACAGTCCGGGATATGTTTATCTGATCTCTTGCCCAATGTAGAGCTTTTGAATATCTCCTTCACACAGTTCATTGCATGCACTTGAGGTAGATTCGTTTCATCAGTCTCAGATAATGTAACAGGGCGCCCAGCCAAAGATTTCAGCTCTGCCATTACATCTTCGAAAGCTGGACTTTTACTGTTTGCGGATAGTATTCCAGTAACTAGTGCGGGAATTCCTGCAGATCTGCGTGTTGTAGATGCTTGTTCGAAAATGCATTTTAGTGCGCCCTAATCATTAGTTTGACGGTAGCTAAGGTAAACGAAGGGGAATCACGTACCTTGTACCAGATTTCAAGCAATTCGCTCGAGTTATGGCATTGTGAAAGCTGACAGCATCTAGCAAATGTCAAGGAGACTGTGGAGAAGGCACCACGATGTCGAAGGCTAGATAGTTGTTCGAAAGTCAAGTTTCCCACTTTTTTGAAGAGTCCTGGATCCATCACTGAAGACCCGTCATGACGGCGATCTTTTGCTTTTGTAACAACAGTCCTCATCAGGTTACTATGCATAGATTAGCGCCCCAACAGTCTATAATCTGGTGTCATGGTGCGGTACCTAGATTCATGAATTGCCCTAAAGCTGTAACTCAACACATCCTTAGTATCAATGGATTCTACATCGTCAACTTCCTCAGGAATGTGGCCTTCTGGTGAATCATTACATAGTATGTCTTTTACAGCCTGCCATATGCTGTAACAACTTGCAACAATGCGATTTTGTAGGTCCTCCCATGATTTTCGAATTTCAGCAGTTTCCTGATCCTTGGAATCATCTTGAGAGAAGTCGATTTCTTCCCAAATATAGCTTTATATCAACAGTCAGCCTAATACCTGATAGTTATCAAGGAAATTTACCTTATGGTTGAAAAGTCGCTATGAATTGGAGCAACAAGAACAGCTTCGCCCAAATCTCTTTGGGCCATTACTATCTTTTTCTCTAGGCCAACGACGAGGCCTTCGACAAGACTCAGACGTCCCTTGACGTCCGAAAAACCATATAGAATCTGGTAAGACCGTGCAACTCCATCCGCAAAGTCCGCGCGACCTGTACGCTTTGCAAAGCCCTCAGCACGATCAATAAATTCCAATAAAACGTCAAAGCCTGCAGCAGTCTGTGACTTTGAGGATCGGAAATTAAGGGGACTGGCCAATTTCAATATCGAAGTGGCTCCGCTTCTGACATCCTCAAATGGATCCATTAGCAGATCAAGAAATAGTCGTATAGACTCTGAGTTGAAGATGCTTAGAGTATGAGCCCATATTGTGGCGTCAGGCGTAGTCGTCAACTTTTGATCTTCAGATGAACGCTCCTCCAAACCAGAACGTAACAGCAAAGAGATCGCCCTTAAAGACGTGATGTGTCGTTGGTAGGATGCAGTAGGCACAAGCTCCCCTTGCAAGAATTCCAGAAACCAAGTAAGGAAGCTCTCATGCTCGTTAAGTAATCGTTGCGCATCTGAACGATCATTCTGACGGTCTTGAATTACCATGCGATCAATCTCTCTTACGAGGTAAGCGGTTGCGCCCTTGATACGTTCTATCAAATGCTTGGTATTGCTTAAAACGTCATTGCGAAATTTTGCATCTGTGTCTGCATAGAGATGAGCCATGTTTCTCTGTAAAAAAGTGAGCGCTGCCGGGCTAAAGGGCCGAATTGATGATGCGGACGATACTAGGACTGAAAATGCCAAGGATCGAACAGTATCGGAAGGATGAGTCAATAATGGGCCAATAGTATCTTCGTGTAGGATTATGCAGCCCGTATTTTTCTTTGGGGCCTTCAGAAATGATGTGATATCTGGTACAGTTAAAATACTCCATTAGGTGAAAACGGAAGGGCAACTTACTAGAATCCTCGACTAAGCCGGCTTTCTTCCCAACTTCTATAGCTGACAAATGAACTAGCGATTCAGATTCCATGTCTTGTCCCTCCATGTTTAAAGGCCCTTTTTGGTTAAGATCCTGCAAAAAGGCCAAAGAACCAACGCGATCGAGCTTGAAAAGAGGGGGGAGAAGATAGTTCTTGATATTTTCAAGAGCATCAGGGTTTTTACTAAGACCTTCACTGATCCAACGTTGCCATAGTCTAGTGTGGTCTTTAGTTTCATCACTCTGATATTGAGTAGCGAGTTCCTTCGATACTTTAAAAAGAGAAACCAAGAACTTTCCCGCGGAGGGCGAGACGTCCTGGAGATTCATCCATTGAAATGTTTCGGAAACTATACTATCAAGTGTAGAAGCAGTGCTAGAATAGATGTCAGTATTTGAATGTTCCATATTGTATCAAATAATGGAGAAGTAACTTCACGGAATGATTGGAGTTTTTATCTATCGACATGGGTGTCGCGCTGCTTTGAACGCCAAACACACATTTCTAGAGTTCAATTGCGATTTTCACGTTCAACTGTCAGGATCAATGAGTGGATCACTTACTTATCTAGCTCGTTCAGAAGAGGAGACTTATTTCTAGGAGTAGCGAGATCGTCGATGCTTATTATACCTTTTCCTACTAAGTGCTCCAAAATCTTGAAAGCAGGTTTGACCAGGGGTTGAGAAGCTTGATGACTGATGATGGAGAGTAATCTTTCTACAATAATTCCCACCAAAGACTTTGAGACAGACTTATTGGGGTGAGATTTAAGAAGAGATGTCAACAGATCGAGAATCTGACGCATGGATCGGTGCTGATTTTTCTCGTTCCATTCCAGGTAGAAATTGAACAAGTCTAGACAAGTTTTCTCGGAATATGCGGCTTCCTTGAGAAGAGATGATTGCGAGGCTTTACACTGTTCGATAAAATGACACAGTTTGATGCATGCGTTCCCGGAAGCCTGCGATATCACATAGTCAGTATGAAAGGTCCGGACGTCTTGTACTTTGAAACGGCGTGATGCAATCAGAAAAGACTGTAGCTAAAGCAGAGAAGCGCATCCGAAGAGAGTGGAGTATTGGAATGAATCTGAGAGTTGAGATTTTGGACTGAACGTTGAGGCCGAATTGGATATTTAAATCACGGCAAACATTAAAACAGCGCTGGACAACAAAGTGAGGCTGATCTTTAAAGTATAACAGGGCATTGAAAAACAATGTATCTGAAATCGAAATCGAATGAGAAATTGAAATGGGATTGGAACATCAGACTGAATACAACGTTGAGAATACAACAGGAACCAGAAAGAGAGCTAGTCATTGAATAGTAGAAATTGCCTACATGTCGCGGCTGGGCAGCTTTTTCCAAAAACTCATCAAGGCTACTTCCCACAAGTCTGGAAACATGATTAGTAAATTGGCCAATTAAAAAAGGTGTTGCAACATTACTGTAATTGGTTTGATTCAGGTTGATTTTCGATCCATTTGGGTAGAAGTCGTTCATCTGTTGGAGCTTCGGTACCAGGTACTATTGAAGACATTGTGTCGTTTGAGTGGTCGAGCGACCAACAAGCAATCCTCGATCCTCAATCCTCGCTTCAGGTGGGGGAGGGGGAATTATTTCGAATACCGAGCAAGTCTTCTCCTCTCAGAACGCTGTCAAAATGTCCAGTCCAAAAATGTATGAAAATTATATGAAGGTCGAAAACTGCATATCTAATACAAGATTGGAATAACCAAATAAGATGACCCCTTATGGCTCACGAATGTATCTTAACGTAGGTACATGTAATTTGATCTGAACTACTCGTACAACCATAAAAAGTTTGATGGTGGGTGAAATTAATTATATTTTGCACGTGAGCTTGGTGTGCACGGACCCATCGTCATAATCGATCAAGGAACTAAATTTTTGAATTTGAAAATGTAAGATACATCCAGTGCCTGAAAGAATTCTGATATTACATATTATCAACCAACAACCCAAACTCACGGTAATCGTGCCGATATTAATCTCATTCCCAGTGTTCTCGCAAACCAATTCCGAAGATGTCATTCTGGGATAAGTTGACAGGGCGAAAGCCATCAAAGGATGCTTCTAGTGGCGGATCAACAACCTCGAATACACCAACAGACACATTCACACCTACACCTTTTAACCCGCAAGAAGGGCAAGATGTCAGCTCTTTTCTTACAGGGCCAGAACTCGTAGATCCTTCACAACTCCATCCTATGGCAGGTCTGAATCAGCAGACTTTAGATTACCTATCTCTCGAAGAATCCACCCTCTCGGACCTTCCAGGATCGCAGTCTGCTTTACCCTCTAGAGGCTGGTCAGACGATTTGTGTTATGGTACCGGTGTGACATATTTGACGGCGCTGACTGTGGGAGGTGCTTGGGGATTACAAGAGGGTTTGAGGAGGTCTGCGACACAACCGCCAAAGTTGCGATTGAACTCGGTGCTGAACGCTGTTACGAGACGTGGGCCATTCTTGGGGAATTCCGCAGGAGTAATTGCTATGGTTTACAATGGTTTTAATTCTTTTATTGGACATATGAGGGGTAGACATGACTCTGCGAATAGTGTTCTAGCAGGTGCGCTCAGTGGGATGATCTTCAAAAGTACAAGAGGAGTTCGTCCCATGATGATTTCCGGTGGAATTGTGGCTTCTGTAGCCGGCGCATGGGCAGTAAGTAGACATTTGAACTTGTCCCCTTGATTTAAGTGTACTGACAATACTTTCAAGGTTGCAAGAAAAGCCGTATTCTAAATGACTATATAACGACAAAACCCCTCTTCCATGACGAAACTCCGACCTTATGATTTCAAGATCCGCACACCAGCGAACCTCCTCCATTACTCTAAATAGAACCAGGTTTCTTTAGCGTATTAGCACATATTGATTTGTGCTTTGTCATTATAATAGATTTTGTTAATTGGCGCGGGTTGCATTAGCGGGTTCATCTCTCCTCTTTACCCCAGAAGGGCAATATGTAACATAGATGGGAAAGGTATGGGGAGTAATTCAGAGTCGTCGAATTCTCAGATCTGGTGCTGATTTCTCGAGAATGTTCAAGGTTGTATTGGTTGCACCTTCCTCTTATGAGATGAACCTAGCTCACCAGAACCATTCTTTACGGTGAAAAAAGCAACAGAATCTACAATTCACAGTATTCAAACCACCTCAGGTACAGCTTTATGCATTCTCCCGTACTACATAGTTATAGCGGCTACTGCCGTAATCATATTGTGCTCAATCTTCTTCCGCTTATTACTTAAAATTTTCTTTGATATTTTCAGTCCCTCTTCTAGCAAATCGAATTTCAACCAACTCTTTGAATCAACACAGAAACAACAATCATCATCATGAATTCACTCTCCCCTATAAGATCCCCTTCGGAAAGGTCCCACTCGCCTGCTGAAGTTAAGCACATGATTTTCGTTAGTCTTTTAAAAGAAGGAAGAGGCGCTCCAAAGGGTATTCCCTCTATGACTTTGACAAACCTTTCGATCTACGATCCCAACCCGGCTTTTATATTTGCCGCTTCTATGTCACTAGGAGAGGATGAGAGTCTACAGTCAATTGTTGAGAAAGCTGCAATAGATAATGCCAAGTGTGACAAGCTACGCGAAGATATACGCTGGTATCTAAAACACCCCGATGCTGAAAATATGAGAAAATCAGTCAACACACTTCTTGATGAGGACATCATGGCGAGGGGCCTTTTAAGGAAGGATCCAGACATACTCAAGAGAACAATTCTGGCAAAGGTACAAATCTCGACCTTTATTTTTGTTATTTTTAGTGTAAATTCCATACACAGTCGTTATATCTTGGCTAACTCTTATAAATGAAGGCGTTTCTTCTTGTGGAGGATTTCGAGCGAGAAAGACTCGACGTTGAAGCTGAGAACGAAAGTTATGATTTTGCAATTCAATTAGTGACTTTGATAAATGGCTGGGGGGAAGCTTCTCAGGTTAACTTGCTGTATTTCAAGTACAAGACATCTTTCGAAAGGTTTGAGCGTACGCTCAAGGATGAAACTCGAAGTAGCAAGATTCCACCCGAGAACATTGTATTGCCTACTCTCTCTTGGCCGTCTGTTGGTTTTGGGGCTGAAGAATTTCAAATGTGCAATGAGAATTCCGAGAATACATCTGGTACTCAGAATGCAAATCAGAATGCAAATCAGAATGGCATGTTGACAGAGAATTCAGAACTCATTCAGAAATTCTCAGCAACAGCAGGACGAGACCACGCTGATAAGGGCTTCAATCTTGCGGATGGTCCATGGATGTACCGATTACCACATACAGGTAAAGATCCTGCTAACAAACCAGGGTGGCTACCGATCAGAGAGAAAGATGACTATATGGTTATGCTGGACGGTATCCGCCGTGTCAACTTCAAGTATGCAGAGTGGGGACAGTCAACGAAATGCAGTGTCATGATTATGCATGTAAGTACATCCCATTGATCAGCGTCCGTATCCCCAGTACTAATTATCATGTCTCAACTAGTCGTTGGATCGAGACTGTCAACAGAGATATTTTGATAGACGTGAAGAGGAGCGCGCTTACAGTGCAGAATGGGAGAAGGAACTGGAAAAGGCTGGATTTTTTGATAACGAGGATGCCATTGGTGAATACGGAGATGATTGGACTGAAAACTGGAATAAAATCAATAAGCCTCTCCCAAAGCTTATACGGAAGACGAAAGCCTAGGTGACTGTTAAGAAAGGACGGTAACTTGATGATTTTAGTTCGCATCGCTGGAATCGAGAGTCAGGAGTTTTTGAGGTGCAAGTCTTAATCGAATGTTTGATTGCACATCCATAAGTAGCAAATCCTTCTCAAGATAATCAAAGGCAATGACTTTATCACATCGCGAATTTGAAGATCTTTTGGGAGATCATTACATAGATAGCACAAATCGTTGTTGTCTCGAAGTAGCCATGTTTTGCAAGACTGTGTGAGTGTTGTCTACAATATCCAGCTTCAAGGGAAGAATTTCCCTCAGACTCTTTTCATCTATTCAAGCAGGAATAATCTCTTTCCTTTGAAGTCACTGGAGCACTTTATAAGCTTATGTACTACTAATGATATGCTGGTGATAAAGGAGACAGCGGACGTCAGATGGAGTCAGGAGTAAACAAGGGAGCTTGTTCGAGTCCATGGTTCCAATATTGTGCAGTCTGAAGTTGTTTTCAGTGTATTCACTTCAAATTCTGATAGAGCTTAATAAAATTTGAAAATGACTAGAATTTCTTCCATGCCGACAGAAGCCTTGAGCATTCCATACCCCATCTCTCACAAAATTAGTCTTTGTCTCTCCAAGTTGAATTGGCTCCCAATACCAAATCTAACAACAATTGGAGTCTCTTTGAATCTCATCAACACCGGATACCGCACCTGAAGAGGTCGTTAATATGTGCATCCCATGCTGGCCTTTTACGGATGTATATCTCGAGGAGGAGAAAAAGAAAGACAACAGAAGTATCATGGTGTTCGATCCTAATACACGTCAATGGGTCCAAATTGGAGATGTAAGTCAACTTGCTTGTTCCTTCCTTTCTTGTCTCTTGGATTCTTCTCATTTCCTCCATCCAAAAAACTGGTTTCTAGTTATTTTACATTTGCTGCGGGGTTGGTCATTGGTACCTGTGTCATTTGTCAATACAAAGCAGAAATTCACTTTGTCGCTTCTGTTCCTGCCTCAAATTTTTACTTGAGTGGTTTCGCAAACAAAAACTTTACAGCTTGCACGTTGAGCCATTCCATGAACGCAACACCTCAAGAATTAATTTCTATATCTCAACTTCTGAGAGATATAGGAATCCACTACATCAATCTTACAGCTAACAAAGTAATCTCAATACTTCAAAGCATTCAAGCAACAATGACTGAAGTACCCGTCCAAAGCTTCCAACCCCAGGTTCCAGATACTACCGCTGGACCCTACGAACATACCTACATCCCACGCGCTGACGGTGCCATTATTGTTAATGGTGTTGTCTACGTTCAAGAGACCAAGACTCCAATTCCAGTCGTACCTGCACCTGCTGTGCCATCTCCTAACCTTCAACAATTTTATGCATTTGCTGCAAGTTCAACCTTCGAATCCCTTCTCCGTTCACTTTGCTTTTGCGCAAGTTGCGCTTGAGATTTGTCCCTTGCATCAACATCGCAATTCTTTGTATTCATTGCTAACATGTCTTCTTTACTATAGGCAGCTCAACATCAACCTCTTTACCCTCAACCCGCCTTCCAACCTTACCCCTACAACCCTTATCTTCAATTCGCAGGCAACAATCAACAAGTACCTTTCGGTGCCGGCTATGTTCCCCAACCCGCCATGGGCACATACGGAGCTACCGGCAGTGAAATTCAATTGCAGCAGATGCAGATACCAGAGGCGAGCAAGAAGCAAGATATGAAGCCATCTGATGATGATCCCTTTCGCATGTATTGGGTTCGGGAGCTCGATGATACCTGGACTCAGAGAAACAGAATGACGATTGACAGTGGTGATATTGGTAAAATTAGAGTAAGTTTCATGCTTCGTTGTGATTTTGGTACATCGCTGATCAGTGGTTTCATGGTGTAGTGGTATGTAACTGATGGTGTTTTCTACGCCGCCAGATTGCCTGAGTAGTTTCAAGGATGATGGCAACAAATGATTCGCAGGGAGTTGTTGAAGGGTGAGAGAATATTACAATATTTCATCATTCTTCTGAATCCTCCGGATCTCGAGTCGAACTCTCTTCGGTCACTTTGTGATCCTCGATTCTTACTACTACATACGAATATTACGCAATGATACCTGGGATGGAAGAACAATAGGATGAAAGGGACGATGAAGATGATTCTAGGGACACAGCTCGTCATTACAATATGGGTCACTTACTTGATTTGGGTTTAATGCTTCATTTCTGCGCATGAGATATGCACTACTTATGATTGCTCATATCTTGCAGCGAATATTGGCTGTCGCCTGGATTTAAAGGGTTTGTGTATAGACTTTCGATCAATACACAGTAACTCTCAAATGATTTTGCACACCTGCAATGTGATGATCTAATTACCTCGTTTCCGTGAACATAGATGTGCAGAAGTTGTTGGTTTGTATGGACAGAAAGAGAAGCCCATCTTTCATCCTGAGCACAGTTTTTTGGACACTGCACCCAGAAGCTTATTGGTGGTTGAACTTATGATCCGAAATACAACATTGAGTTGACATGATGTGAGGTTTGCAGCACAGCCTCTGTTGATTAATCGTGGCTGAACTAGGACATATTGGGGTTGGTGCGTTTGCCCAACCACACACCTCACATCAAACCCATGTCGAGACCGAATCGACCTGACTACCTGGGTATTTGCAGCTTGAGAGTTGTGTACTTTAAGAGATTGCACAGTTTTACAAACAACCTCCGATGATCATAGATTGACCCCTGTGTTTTTGATACAGACAATTGACATCAAATTAAATGCTCGGTCACGAACGTCCGTGAGCATCCATTACATGTCCGGTTGACGTTTCAAACATGGAAAAGGAAGGGCAAATGCGACCGCCACTTTATGATATCTTTCAGGAGTGTGGAGCAGATCTTGAGCTTCCGAGATCTGATGTTTCTTATTATCTACCGGTACCATGGCTTGTGTCGCTTCTTTCGTTTGATTCTTCTAGTAGATGTTTATTCCCCCCATGCATGAAGATTTTTCGCCGCAGTACTGTTTCATGGAGTATACGCATTGCCTTTCTGGGTTTGGAGCTTATTTCAAGGTTAATTTCGCAATACCGATAGCACTGGGGCCAATTGCAAGCTGTCGATTGGTCGTGAGGGATCATTCGATGTCAATATTTATGCTTTCCTATGAAGCAAGCGCTGAAGAGTATATTTGAATGTCCACGTCCCAGAATTTATCAATTTTCTTAGAAAAACTACGCAACCTGTTTCCACTATTCTAATCCATACTAGAATGCTGGGACTCAGGGATGTGTTAAGGCGAAATCCCATCTGATATTCTTCCCCGGATCAATGGTGCTTCATGTAGGTCTGAAATCAAGCCGTGCTCTAATCGGGGACTTTGGAATTTGAATGTTAGTGCGTAATGTGGGACACTATTGTATCGCAATGACTTATATACTATGTATCCTTTGGATCTATTCTCTCATCAGACCGTTGATCGATCTCCGTGTTATTCGTCATGAACTCCTCACCAGAAGAAAAGTCGGCTGGCCCGACAGCACTCTTCTATGAACGAGTTCAGGGTGATCGGGATTCAAATCCTAGGATGGATGATGTTAATAGTAGTAGTAGAGATATAACGGAGGGGATTTCGATGGCTAGACTCAGATCAGATCCAGTAACGGATTTGAAAGCAAGACTCTCACTATGGGGTTTGTTCGCATGGTTTTCAGTACATGGGCAACAAGCTTATACAGAGATAGATCCTAATTACCCCGAGGACGAAAAGGAGTTGAAAGTCCCGGATAAGTCGTCTTTTGATGATGATGATGCCTATACAGCAGTCGAGGAAGATTCTCCATACCCGGAAGTCCGAGCCGCAGTCAAGAACTATGATGAGGATGTACCCGCGAATACAATTCGTGCCTGGACCATCGGATTGTTACTGGTAGTCGTTGGAGCATCTATGAATACTCTCTTTTCTCTTCGATCTCCTTCGATCGGTCTAGGCGCGTTGATTGCTCAAATTATCGCTTGGCCATTGGGCCATGGATGGGCCAAAGTCATGCCAAAGAAGCAATTCAATACACTTGGTTTGAAGTGGTCGTTGAACCCGGGACCTTTTAATATCAAAGAACATTCCATCATTGTCGTCATGGCAAGCGTGAGTTTTAGCGCAGCATATGCTACTGATATCTTGCTTGCTCAAATCGCGTTCTACAAACAAGATTTCGGGTTGGTTTTCCAAGTACTTTTGGTTGTTTCAACCCAATCTATTGGTTACGGCATTGCTGGCATCTTGCGCAAGTTCTTGGTGTATGTACTCTATCCAAACTCCCTTTTCATTGTTACGACTTAATTTGGGTTTAACACTGCCTTTCCCTCCACTGTGCTATCTTCATTGGACAACCCGCATATGATATTTTGTCTGAAATGCTCATGTAGCACGCGCAATTCTTATTAAGTATCTACTAACACATAACTCAGGTATCCTGCAGCCATGATCTGGCCCGCCAATCTCGTCAGCGTTACCCTAATGAACGCCATGTACGAAAATAACGAGAGACCCGATCCAACTATCTTTGGGGGTTCAATCCATCGCTACAGATGGTTTGGATATGTTACTGCTGGTGCATTTGTTTGGTACTTCATTCCTGGATTCTTGGCCCAATTCCTATCGGTTTTCGCCTTCGCTACTTGGATTGCCCCTGACAATGTTATTGTTAACCAATTATTTGGTGGTACGAGTGGTCTTTCTTTCATACCATTGACCTTTGATTGGACTCAAATCTCTGGGTTTATTGGAAGCCCTATGATTCCTCCGTAAGTAGTGCCCAATGTAGATTCTTTATTCAATTTGCTAATTTATTCCATAGATGGCATGCAATTGCCAATACGCTCATCGGAATGGTCTCGTTCTACATGATCGGTGCATCGATTGTTCATTACTCCGGAGCATGGAGTTCAGCATTCTTACCCATGAGTGATAGCGCTACGTACGATAATACCGGAGCTGCATACAACACTACCAGAATCCTGACCGAAGATTTTACTCTCAATCTTGCGGAATATAAAGCATACTCACCTCTATTTCTGTCAACCACTTTTGCTATCTCGTACGGATTGTCATTTGCAGCCATTTCTTCATTGATTGTTTACACATATCTACACCATGGCAAGCAAATCTGGGCTCAATTCCGTAATAGCACAAAGGAACAGACTCCTGATATTCACATGAAGGTATGTGTGCTTTATTCTTTCATTTCTCGCTTATCCCTACGCAAATATTAAACCTGTTCACAGATGATGCAAAAATACCCCGAAGCTCCCACCTGGTGGTACATGTCTCTCTTCATCATAATGGTCGGACTTTCCTTCATCGCCATCCTTGCGTTCCCCACCAACCTCACCTGGTGGGCTTTCCTCATTGCCCTGGGAATATCGTTCTTCTTTGCATTGCCCATTGGCATTATTCAGGCAATTACCAATACCCAAATCGGATTGAACGTATTGACGGAGTTTATCTTCGGATACCTGCAGCCTGGAAAGCCGTTGGCTTTGATGATTTTTAAAACTTATGGGTATATTACCATGAGTCAGGCGTTAGGATTCGTGAGCGATTTGAAGTTTGGTCACTATATGAAGGTATGCATTTTTCTCCCCTTCCCCTTCCGTGATCTCATCTCGCAAATTCCCTTCCGCACTTTTTTAAATCCCTCGCTTACTCTTTATACCCTTAGATTCCACCAAGAACAATGTTCATGGCCCAAGTAGTCGCAACGACCTTCTCCTGCTTCATTCAAGTAGCAGTCCTCAATTACGCCCTAAATAACATCCCTGATATCTGTACTCCGCACCAACCATCCCATTTCACCTGTCCCGGTGGTCGCGTTTTCTTCTCAGCATCCATAATATGGGGTCTCATTGGTCCTCAACGCATCTTCTCTCCAGGTCAAATATATTCCGCTCTATTCTGGTTCTTTGGTCTCGGAGCAATCGTTCCCGTGATCTTCTTTCTCCTTTCCAAAAAATTTCCCAAATCACCAATCAAATATCTAATGGCCCCCTTGATCTTCGGCGGCGCAGCAGCAATCCCACCTGCTACTCCTCTTAATTATCTCAGTTGGGGAATCGTAGGCTTCATCTTCCAAAAACTCATCAGGCAGAAATATTTCGGATGGTGGAGCCGTCTTAATTATTTGACGAGTTCGGCGCTGGATCTGGGATTGGCGTTGAGTACGATATTTATTTTCGTGGCCTTTACGGTTAATGGGGTGGAAGCGCCAAAGTGGTGGGGGAATACTATTGTGAGGAGTACGCTGGATGCACAAGATGCAGCGGTGCAGAAAGTGGTGGGTGTGGGCGAACATTTTGGTCCGCAGGTTTGGTGATCATTGGGGTGTCTGGGAGAGGTAATTTATTTTGCAACGGGTTTTTTGGCACTGGGCGTGGAGGAGTTGATGGAATTTGGCTATTGTGGGCTTGCCGCTGTCGGAACACGCACAAGTCTGGATGATCTAATGCGGTGACGGGGAGTTAAGTAATCGGAAAGAGGAGGTCAAGGGAAAATGTGTAGTAATGGTTTTTATTTCGCTTCTTGCATATTCTTAATGTAGTATTGTATCTAATGTATCGAGTTTTCTTACCCCTTATACTTATTCGTCACAAGCGACGACATGAATGATAGGCCTGCAGTGTGTTCTCTGAGCGGCGGTCTTCGGCATTCCTTTTGAGACTATGGATTCGAATCATCAAGTCGAGTTCCCCGAGTAGATCGACTTAATATCCTGCTGTGTTCCGTCCTCATAAGGAAATAGAAAGATGATTCTGCTAGCCAATGTGTCCTTTCCTCCCTTTCCTTCTCTACGATAACTTTTACCATGATATTACAATCGGAATCGGAAGTGGTAATGGATTTATGCAGCCTTGACACAAATGAGGGTTCTGGCGAGGACAGAGCTCGTGGATAAAAGCTGAGATATGGTTTGGGGGTAATTCTGGTATTTGCACTCGAAAGAGCACACTCAAAGTAGATTTCGTGTTCAACATCAATAGTCGTCAAAGGGTATCATTTCCTATCGTTTGCTCCATTCCCCTTTAGCTTGCACCGGATAGTGGCAGCTGTTCCACGTAATATACAATAAGGTACAATTAAGATTTCTTTTCCGGTTGCCTAACGCCTGAAAATTATCTCCAAAAGAAACATGCCTTATGAGATTTTCATACCCTCAGCTGTCAATTAAATCCCCCATTACATACTCATGCAGCAGCCGCAGCAGCGGCGGCGGCGGCTTTCTTCTCCGCATCTCTCCTCTTCCATGCATCCCTGATTCGAGGTGCAGCGGCAATTAAATCCTTCTCCGTCACACGATCCCTAATACTCTCAATAACGCTCTCCACTGTACTGGTATGATTTGCAACCTCCTTATCGTCCCTGAACTTCATGTATCTCCATCTCTTCTTGTCATCCATGTAACATTCTACTATTCGGTCGTTGAGCGGTTCGTTAAGTTCCTTCAACTTCTCCCATTCTTCTGGCTCTAGATGCATAGTTCCATACCATTCATCCTTTCCATTCCCTGCGTTGACGAGTAGATTGCAAACTGGAATCGCATCGTAATCAACATATGGCTCTGTATTTCCTTCTGCGAGATCCATCGCATCGGGTTCAACGGTGGGGAAATCGAGCCCGAGTTTGAAATCGATGCTATTCTCGTTTTCGGGCTTCCATTTCAATATATTCTGATCTGTTCCATGTTTGTATTCCGAACTCCTGCATGTGAAAATCAAGCCATCGTTTCCGTGCGGCAAGTTTGGTAGGGTTTGTCGAAACATCATTTCCATCGCATAGCCAAATTCCATTCGTTTCAACTCCATCAAGAAGTGGAAGTAAGGTATCTCTTGAGGGAAATTTCGCAGAAGATCTTGGTAAGGCGAGAAGATTCTTTCCGAGAAATATGCAAGTCGTTTATCGAGTGTGCGATTCATAAGACTGTTTCCATCCAACACCATACAATCAAAAACGAGGAATTTTGGCTGCATCCCATTCGGTGTCTTATCCATAACCAATTCCCCATCAATCAAAGTCTTTCTATGGAATCCTTCGATATCGCGAGGAATAGGAAAATGGAGGCTTCCTTTAGGCACATACCAATAATCATTCCTCCTATCGATCAAATAATGACATTCTTCGTGGGTCTCATCGTCGGTCAGATAGAGTAGGTAGCGAAACCCATCTGATTTCTCGCACACGTAATAATCTTGTCGCGTCAATTCATCAAGATGACGTCTGGTGAAACTGACAGGCTGTGCGCCGGGGAAACTGGGATTGGATCGATTGAGTAGTTGCGCGACTTCTCTTCGCATGTGAAATAATATTTCGCCCTGTGCCTGGATACCAGGAGCTTGAATATCGTGGACGGGACCGCTCATTTTGTCGAATGGCTATGGATATGGATATGGATATTAATATTGATATGGGATTGTGTAAATGCGATATATTGTTTGAGATTGAAGAGTCGCAGCTGTTCGAGGCTGGGCTGGGTTGTAAGTAGAATGGTAGTTCAATCGGATCGTTTGTTGGAATTTTTAGTGGTTTGGTAAGGCTGAAGATCAATCGGCATTTGGGTTAAAGTTTTGACCGATGTGCTATTTTTATGGGCTAGACAAGTCGCTAATGTCTACATACTAGCTTTTTATTGTTCTAGATGAGACAGGCACTGGTGAGGTTACATTGGCATCATCTCATCATTCTCGAGTTCTATCTTGTAGATATAATTGTTTGTTCAAAGGTGTTAGAGTTGTCTGTTCATTCTGACGTATTGTCTTGGCCAATCCCTCTATTGAATTATTCACAGCTTCAATGAAAAGGGGCATTGAGATGCCACTTTCAGCTTGTTTGTGACAACAGTTTTAAACCTCAGATACTGATTTTTGAGCTTTTATTTCCTCTTCTCGTGAATCACCAATCGATCAAGTATTGTTTATGCAAAGTACTACGTATCATGTTAACTTAGAGATGGAGAGATATTACCATGTATTGATCCTTCTCTGAGGTCTAATTTCGTCCTCTCTCTTTGGAGCTTCTATTCCTAGATGGATCGCCTGTATCGGAACCTTGGAAGTACTAGATATGACCGAAAAGGAGGTATTCTCGTGGGATATTTCATTCCCCGCGTCGTCCACAGGCTTTTGATTCCTCTCTTTGGAACTTTCACCCTAAGACGAACTGCTTGCATCAAAAGCATCTGGTTCGGCCGAAGTCGAGGCATTCCCGTGGAATATGTTGTACGGCTTCATCGATCAGTCTTCTATCCCCCCATCTTAAATTTCTTCTATGTGATGAAGAATCCTCATAGTCAGCTTCTAGTTTCACTCAATTGAAGATATCGTGGTGGGTCATATCACCGTCAATCCTTCCATTCCCGGCACATCGTATCTGAGCAACCCCTATCTTCGCTAATCCCTATGTTGTAGATTTTGGAGACCTCATCTAATTTCTATTACAAGTGAGCGAAGTAGCCTCTGTGTACCATAGCCGAGTCATTAAGACTGAGGATCTTCGCCCGTTAATCATAAAGGAATAGCTTTTCGCTTTGCGAACATTGATATTGTACTAACTAATGCATCATGGACGGCTCGTACCGGTTTCCTTCCGTCCCCTCACAGCCACACCCGTAACGTAGCATTGATCGAACTCCTAATAAACACCCCGAAGATACAATTACATACCACTAGCTGTATTTCCGAGCCTTCAATGCGTAGCACAGTGATCTTTCCAAACCCACCATTTCAGTACAACATTACACGATCATATAAATAAAACCCCATCCTATTCTATCAATCTAGACAGCCCCTTCCACCTCCTTCATCCTATTCATTCCTCTCCATGCAGTGTGAGTCTGACGAAGAAACCTCGTGATTTCAATTCGCAACACGAGAACCCCGAGAATCCGTACCTGACATCATGAATCGCATCTCGTATTCCTGCAGATCGTACTCTGCGTTGGAGGCTTGGCAAAGAGGATGGCAGCGAACGAACCAATGAGATGAAAGCATCGTTAGTGATTATTGGAGATAGAGGTGGCTAGGAGATCGACATTGCGGATTATGCTTGTTTTGACTGTGAAATGTGCACATTTTGGACTTGAACGCTGTTGTGTATGGCCTGTTGGATATGTGAGATGATGTATTAGGGATATGGGACGGGAATGTAAGAATGGGATGGGGCACGGAAAATTTGGTATATAAGAATAAGGGTTCTGCTGCGTTGTAAATCTTGAAGATCATTAACACAAGTGAAATTATTTGAATTTGTTAATTACAACATCATCTCATACGAACAATCAGACCTCATCACAGCACCTCACACAATCAAAGCTTCCCGAGGCTCTCATACAAATACGAAAATGCGTACCTCCCTCCTTTCTATTTCAACCCTCCTCGCACTCCCTCTCACAACCTTGGCCGATTTCCATTACGGATTCTCAGATTACACAATCACAACAGCCACAGGAAGATATGCCATGATTTTACCAGCGTCCCAGACGAACTGTACTGAGGCGTATGATTTCTATCCCAAGGGACCTTTTGGTTTTGAGGTTCCTACTGGCCAGGTGAAGGGTATGTTATATTTTCGTTCCACTTCTCCCGTTTGGCTTCTCCCATTTTCCCCCATCCTCAGTCTCCATGTTTCCCCCCCGAAAACAAATGATAGAAACTGACAGATTACCAGTCGCCATCTGCGGTGTAGAAGTCAACCTCAACGTAACTTCAGGCTCTTGGTATACAAGTTCTCGAAATATCCTAGAGGGCAATTGTACAGCCGTTAACACGACGAATCCAACGGCCGGAGTGAGAACCCCAGTTTGCAGTATTGGGTACAACAGTGGCTCTAGTTATACGGATATTTGGAGTTGTCCGGGAGCTGTTTGTAAGACTGAGTTGTAGGGAACGAAGTGGGAGTCAGAAGAGAGAATGGGTGGCCTGATAGAATCATGCCGGAGAAAGTAGCGGGGGAAGACTTCGTTCAATATGAATGTTGCAGATGATGGTCGGGCCGAGGGGTGAAGTGGTAGACGAAAGCATCAAGACATGCACATCATCGTGGATACAAAAAGTTAATGTCGTAAAGTAATGTAATAAATAAAGACAATGAGAAATGAATTGATGCCCGGCATCTGTCTCTTTGAGGGACAAATTATCAATTCTTGAATTCGAAATGTCTTATTCTAACCATCAAGAGATGATTCCGAGTCTGTTAATTTATTAGCCAGCTGAAAGTGCCAATCTTTGACAGTCAAACTTACCTCTTCTGTGTGTTCTAGGAAAGCTTCATTGAACTAATCTGTTCACTTATATCGGCAATCTTTTCATCCAGTTCCTTGTCTTCTATCTCGAATATCTCCCTTAAGCTCACATCATCTACAACTTTCTCGCTAAACTGTCCATACCCCAAGTCATCATCGACTTCTCCCATTTGGAACTGACGCGGAGCGCTCAATTCCTCAGCAGCGCTTTCTTCTATCCGCTTTTGTACCTCAGAAATCCAACCCTCGACTTTCTTGATAAATGAATGATCGCCTCCAACGATTCTCTTTATCTTTTCTAGCGTGTTTTCATACAGAAACAATGCATCCTTGAACTGTGACAACTCTTCATAACAATGACCTAGCCTTTCAATCGTTATTTTCGAATCAATCCAACTCTCCCAACCTTCCCTTTGAACCTCATTCAAGAGACATCTCTTATAACTGACTATTGCTTCCCTAAAATTTCCACATTCCTCTAGAACACAACCTAGATTATAACAAGTCCCGGCTTGAAAGTGGTAATTATCTGCTTCGAGCAATATATTGTGGAAGACATCGATAGATTCCGATATCATGCCTCTGCTAAAAAGAACAGAGGCTAGTTGCTCTTGGTATCTATAATACCAATAGTGCCTCTTGCCTAGTGTTAATTCCACGCATTCCATAATATAACTACATAGACTGTGAGCTTCTTCAATCTTTTGACCTTCCAACAGAACGTAGATCAAATGGTCCACACTTTCGAAGTAAGTGTTACCTAGACTTAGGCCATGTTTAATAGCTTGATGAATGTTGTATCTATGTAATTTCTCGATTTCGGAAAATGCATCTTCATTTTTTCCTTCAATCAAATAAGTAAGAAGCATGAGTGCATCGCTTGTGATTATATGATTGCGGTCCAGATTCTGGTTATTTAAGAGGTTCTGTATCACTGATCGAATGATTAACTCGGCCTCCGCATCTTGTCTATCAATGTACAAGATATAAGCTTCAAGGTAGGATAGTCGAATATAGAAGGGGTGTCCGGAGCTCAGTTGCGATTGTTGGATCGCTCCACGCAAGCTTCGAGATAGGTATGTCGCGTCTGAAACTTTCCCTTTCAACAAAAGACCCATGACAATTTCAAGATAGATCTCCATTATTCGGTGATTATTAGGACAGCTCTCTTTCAGCCTTGCAGCTAGGAGTTGAAGATGTAAACTCAAGCATCTCCCCCTACTTTGCTCGTTGAGATGTATCAAATTCTCGAGACTTAAAATAATTGCTGGGTTATGGTCTGGTAAAATCTTCCTGAGCTTCCGAAGCTTAAGTTCCCAATCTTCAATCTCTCTTTTCCACACTTCAATCAATGGGCTGGATACAGATGCAATCGTCATTCCAGAATCATAACCACGCGTACTTCGAGAAGTTGGGAAAATGTCAAGCTCGAACAACGGACTCCATGGGATTCTTTTTCCCGGGGTAGGAACAGGTTGGATCACAACATTGGGAATGTAAGCATATTTGACGCGGCTACAGAGAGTAGATAGTTGTTTACTTGTTGTTCCGTGAGATTCTACGTTGTTGCGAAGCTCGTTCCCGGAGATCGTCTCTTTCTTGTCCACGACTTCATCATCAAGGTTTAACGGTGGCATAGAAGCTTCAATCTCCAACAGTCTAAACAGTCGAGTCAATCCAGGAGATCCAGGGACATCAATATCCCAACTGAGGGGCCATTGTTCCAGGTCCATAGCGTCATTCTCCTCGTTAACGTTTGAGATTATCGATTCCACATCAGCTGAAGCGATTTCATTCACATAATTCGATATGGGTAGTTGCTCTTCGGGTGGGCAATATGACCCAACAGATTTTGGCGGGATATTGATGTCTTGATACGATGGAACTAATTGCACTGAATGAAACATCAGAATGCCTTCGATGAATAAGTAATTATTCTGAAGCATGACAAACCTTGAGAACATGGGTTTTCATGTGCATATCTTTTCTTCAATCTTTGGATTCTTTTAGGATCCGAAACACGTTTGTCTCCATCAACAAACTCCGCGATGTCGCCTTTTTTGTCATTTTGAAGAAGGAGCTTCCTTTCCGCCTTCCTGAAATTCTTCTTCAAGCCCCATTCTTCGGTCTTCCGTGTGAATTGACGTCTTCTGTAACCAGAGTATTAACATCTCTATCCCAAAGTTCATTCTAGCAATAGAGGCGGAGAAACCTCTGAATGCGATGTCTCATCTTCCCCGCTCGAAATTACTATAAGAAACCTGGACTTACGTAGGATAAAATTCGAACCTTCTTGCGAGCTCACGAGCAACAGCAGGATATTTCCGTTCCTCGTCTATGTATAATTGCTGTATGATTGGCTTGAGCTTCAACCACTCTTCTCTGGAGAGCATTTTGTGGCCTCCAGTGGGCAGTGGTGATTGTGCTTCGACATCCATAAGAATATGATTCTTGATAAATGTTTGGGCTGACATGATGATGATTTGAGGATTTGGGAAGGATGAATGCTCTGGAATGATGGAAAGTGAAAGAGTGCTTCGTAGATAGTTATTTTATCTCCAGTAGTGAGAGATCTACTATGGAAGAAAAACTCCTGCGACGCCAATTGAAGAGTAAATTTTGCTGGGCTATGAATTGCAGAAAATGGAAACAGTCTGATACTTATCAGTCGATTTTGCAGAGCCTAGCCTTGCAATGCATTTCAATGGCTGACCAAAAGTCCCCTTCCAGATCAGGTTACCCAGAATTTACTTGTACTACATACATGCCACCGAATTAAGCGGGGTCATGCACGAGCGATTGTAGTGGTGATAAAATCATTCAGTCTCCATGGTGTGGACATTTTGATTGCAGGGACGCAGCTGAAGACAAAGTGGCTTGAAGATACACAACTAAAAAAAGAAGAAGAGAGGATGCAATGAAGGATTGAGTGAGGCGGGCGAGATTGGAAAAATGTGACCGTCACAGAGCTCAGCCAGAATTGAGTCTAGTGTCTTTTTCAAGCGAGTCCATACATTTGTCTTGTGGCGGACACTTGAATGTAACACAATTGATTGGATGAGAACAAAAGTCCCTCACGTAGTGTTAACTTGTTCATTCCGTAAGGTAATGGCAAGATCTGACAGCAAGATGAATGGCTAACTTTCTCGCGCTAAAACTCTACCAGCAAACTAGGACAACACCAATGTTTTTTGTTCGGGACAACGATTCACATATGTATAGTTGTTTTGGCACAAATGAGACAGTTGGGAGTTGGTCGCGTGTCTAGCTTGATGCATTATATGCTTCGGGAGCATGACATAGTCGTGGCTGCAAATAAGCCAATAATCAATCCGGTTACAAGACTCAAGAAGCTGACATTCAATTGATTCTCAGTGTTATCTTGTCTTCAAAAATCAAATCATCATATCCTGTCTACAAGCACAAAGAGTCACATATTTGACTTTCGATATAAGATTAGGAAACAATATTGCCATACGTTGAGATTATGTCGTATCGACATCGGTTCCGGGTCACTCGTAGGCCTACAAGCCCCCGCACCCACCCCACTAGCCTCCCCTTAAGGTTGGGTGTTTTGAGAGGAGTTAGCGGGGGGACTAACGGGGGGGAGGCTTGTAGGCCTGCGATTAGGTGATCGGTGGCCCGCGAGGGATAAAACAGTGCCATGAGGTTAGCACGGTGAGGTTACACCACAAAATTCCCCCGCATGAACGCCCTTAAAAGGTGATAAGGCTGAGGAACTTGGAGATTGTGACTGACCAAAAGTCCCTCACAGCAACAGCAATCTCATCTGCAATTAACGGAGTCGAAGTTATGAAATTATCTCGGTTAGGTGCTCACATTTCCCCTGCATGAACATGCCATAACTGGTGCACAACAATACAGAGAATCTGTCAAAAGGCAATCATGACGGTGGCTCATCGGCAGCATGTTTGTCAAGTCGCATTTAGTTGGGCGAAAACGAAGACCTATGTCATTTGGTCCTGGGTGACAAAAGTCCCCAGCTGTTGATGAAGATTGTGAAAGTTGTCTGTCAAAATAGCAGACAAGAGGAGGATGGAAGCTCTAGTGAGAACATGAACTCTTACATAAATAGCGTTGATTTCCCACTCAATCTTCCTGTATGCTTCAGAGTCTTTCTATCTCAAGACAACTCATTCCACCTAAATTTCGAGGAAACCATACTGTTGATTCATCGTCAGAAGCTTCACTGAAAGCTCAAGCCTTTACTTGCTCAACACTCTTAGTTTTTTTATACAAACAACGCGAGATATCGGCGGTTCGCGATAAAGAGACCAGAGAACGCAGTATCCCAACTAGAAACTCTGAAAACATATTTCAAGCCCATATCAAAATCGGCAAGTTCATTATAGCTCCGTCATAATGGCCAACTCGCCGTACGATCAATCGTCCGCTCAGGTATTTCTTCCTTGATCAAAGTTAGTTCTTTTACTGATGAATCATCCAGGCAGCTCAGGTCCAATCTTCGGACAGCGCAAATACAGCTGAGTATACAGCCAATGGGCAGTGGACCAACCACTATACCCAAAGTCAATTCACAGAAGTCAACCGTGCTGTTCCATCAAGCAACGGTAATGCTCAAAGCCAAGCTCAGAGATCATACACTTCTCACTCGACTACCAATACGGACTCGATGACGCCAATGGATCGCTGGGCTGCCGAAACTCCTCAACAAGCTCCCTGGAATGCAGTAGGAAGCTTTGCTACCTCATCAAACGATACCGGGTCCGGGTACTCAAACAACAATGATAATCACCAACAGCAGGCTGGTGACGACTGGAGTATCTGTGGAAACAAATCAACTAGGTGAAGAATAATTGAGGATAAGCATGTGAGTGATCAATCCACAGACTGCTCTATTTATCTTTCCCAAGGTCTAACACCCGCAGTCTCATGAACTTAGCAGGAATTCTTTTTTAAGGATTGCAGAATGTCACTAGTTTTCGATGTCATTTTTATCGTGATCTCACTTACAATAATTGTGTCTTCAACCGATCGCGGAGAGTTTTGAAGTTTCTACGGTGAAAAGCTCGGGGGATGTCTATAGTCTAAGTTGGAAATCAACTCATTTTCTCAATGGCAAATGGTTTCTAGAGGGATTTACAGATTAAGTTAGCATGTTTCTTTACCGAGAGACGAATTTGAATGGGTTTTTCTACATGATTGACCTTTTGAGATGTTGATGCAGCAACAACCTACCTAACCCTAACTCTATCATCGTGAATAAAAATAAGTGCTGTATAACTCTCCATATATAAAGAAAGAGTCAGCATACCTGAGGCTGGCCTGGGTCCAAGTTGTTCGTTTGTGGTTGATGTGATGATGTGATGATGTGACCACAATTCTAAGCTAAGAAATACAATAGAAAATGACTATCAACGTACGAGCAGGGCCATGGAACTTCCTTTTATCTTATTTCCTTTTTAACTAGCTGGCTTAATCGTAAGAGTTTATTCACCATGTTTCCACCCACGTTCCTGTGCTTCAAACTCTCAAACCCTAATTGTGAATGAGGGGTTACAGTTGATTCATCAAGTGAAGCGAAGTAACGCATCTCTGGTGGATAATCCCCTATCTGTAATGATATCGACAATACCTAGGTACCCGTGGACAGCAGTGATCTTTCTATAAAGCTTGAGATGCTGACTCGGAAGCATCAAATTGCTTGCAGGACCTTTGATATTACTTCAGTGTGAAGAGAGTGAATCTCGCAGAAGACCTTGCTTGATGTGATGCCGATACATCTGCAGCTATGATGAAAAATTACGATCTAATAAGACTAAGAGAAAAGGCTAAATTTATGACTCTGAGGAAGTAAATTAATTGCTAATATGACATTAAACGGTCACTTACTTGAAACTTGACGTATTTACTACTTTATCATCCGAAAAGTGAAAATATGAAAGACTTAGTTTCATATTCACCAAAGAAATGTGTTTTCCAAGCAATCTCATTTGCATTTTGTTCAAAAAGTAAATGAAGTCATGAGCCGAGGATTTATCAGTCTTTTAGGGCAATGTTCTAAACCCTTCAGCCTTTCATTGGCTCTCTTATGTACTAAATACAATGGTTGTTGAGTCTCTGATTATTGTTTGGCCGTACCGCAACCATATTAAAATACCTCCTCGAGCTTTGTCTTTGATTTTTCTTGCTTTTCTCCTTGCAACAATTAATACTACAGCGACCAGACCTTTGCATATCAGATTTCTCAACTCAGCCACACAATGTCGCACTCAAATTTACTTCTTGATCCTCTTCTTTTGCAAGAAGACGAGCGAACCAGGAAGACTGGCAGCTCCTCGCAAAGAGCCTCTTCAATGATGCCAGGAATTCCTTTTATCGAGCAGAAAGTTCCCTTTATCAAGAAAGAGCAAGAAGAGGAACTTGTTTACCACCCGGTTTCAACACAACTTGGTAAATATCATTTCCCCTCCCTCGAAAGGCAGAATTTCACAGATTGACCGCAAAACTTAGGTGACACGCCAGAGTTAAAATATGAAGACGGTCATAAATTTGGTTCTTGCTCATCTCTTTCTGCCGAGGAACATGATGCCAGAAACAACAATCCAGACCATCTTTCATCTTGTATGTTTATCCTCCGATCTCGTTGCGCGTGACTTTGATTAATAACATCTCAACTTTGATTAGATAAACAAGATCGCAAGTCTACGAGAATGCCACAGAATTTACCACCCGCGCAATCTGGATCCTTCAAATCACCCGAAGAATACGATCAGTATGTTGGAGATCTAACTTCGCTGCAAAAATATCAGCCTGGCGCCTCAGATCATCTCCGGCCTTCATCGCCACAAGCAAGTATACAAACTGGAGACTCCGAGTCCTTTCCACCATCAACAGGCTTGCAACCTGTAAGCTCTGATTCCAATCGACCTTCTGATGATATTTATTACGATGCTGGAGGTGTATCCCAAGCACAACCTCACCAATATCAATTGACTCACGACCAATCTCCTGGCGGTCAAACTCTTCCTATCCAACACTCTATCAATGAAAATGTTGTTGATAATCAATACTACAGCAGCCAGGCCTTTGATAGTCCACCAGTTTCTCAAGCCCCCGAGCCTGGTCTTGATCTTGACGAATACCCAGAGTTACAACCAGGAGTTATCACCATGAATCTCCCCACACCAGCTACAATTCAAGAAGTCGAATTCTTGCAATCCTGGATTCCGAGAAACAAACTAGACATCGAAAATTTCTATGCTGCTAGGCCTGGACTGAATCAACCTGGTCTCGAAAACTCTTCAAAGCAGGATCAAGTAGATACTGTCATGAGACACATGTTAGCTGAGCATGGAGCTATCATTGATGAGAGACAAAGTATTCATGGCCGATATGATCAACTTGGCGCAGTTCTGATCGGTCAATTCCGATTACAGAACCCGGAGCATGCCTTCGAGCTCCAGCGCCAAGGAGATCTTGCCTTCTTACCATCTGCCACCTCTCAAACTCTTTCATACCCTTCCAGGACCCCTCATTCAGGTCTTCGCCACCATAGTAATCTACCTCGCCATAACAATTACGAAGAAATTGGTGGTCCAGACGTAGAGACGGTAAAGCAATGGGGCGGAATCAGAAATCAAATCAACAACAAAGGTGTCTACCACGAAGTCTTGCACCGTAGACGTACGACTCTCGGTGCCAAATACCACCCTGAAACTAAGCAAATGATGGCCTTACCTTATTCGACTGGCGAAAATCTGACCGATCGAGATATCCTCCAATTAGCAAGATTGAGTCCTTTCCAAAGACATTTACGCGCTTCAAAATTTTTCAACGAGCGAGGAGAGTTCTACACTCGTCATAAACGCTTCACGGAGATGTCGGATGCACGTCTTAGACGCGAGGGCTTGTTGCGTTCGTGGATTCCGAGAAAGGCGGGGGATCGTCCCCATAACAGCGTAGAGCGTGCGGCGCGGGCGGCACAGTTGGGGTTGACGGGTGATGATAAGCTGATTGCTGATGCAGCCGCAGAGAGACTTCGTCGAGCTGCGGCAGAAAAAAAGTTGAGAGAGTCAAAGGCAGCATAATCAGGAAAAATGACTGGCACTCTTACAATATCTATTCAAGGTCCCAACTATCGAAGGATACTCGGGACAGTGCCGATGGTGATGGAATGGCATGGCAGAATTTTATGTGGATCCTTTTCCTTTGTTATTGCAGCATTTTGAGCGTTGGTTGTTGGATTCCTATTTTTGTGGTTTTCCTTTCCCTTTTTTTTGTGTACCTAAGTACGAATACATAGCTTAATGACTTGTACTATGAAATTTATCCTACTGTTCCATGAACACCTTGACCTATGTCTATGCTTGTATTCACATGAGGTTAAACTCCCTTTCTCCTATACTCGAATAATCCTGATCATCTTTCCTAACATCAAGTACTCCAATCCGTTCCCATGCACCAATAAGTGAGTTGAATCTAACCACAAGCGTGCACAGGAACTCTGCTTCTTCATTTAACTCACAATTTTTCTCTGTCATTGAACCTAGAATTAAGCAGCAAACTTCCCAGCTCTGCTCCTGAGGAAGACCTCCTGGTGGGATATCCAAATTCATCTCATATACAGATATCAAAATCATGTCCTCAATATCTGCATCAAACACAAGCATCGTGTTCTCCTCCGTCTCTGGCAGAAAAACTGTTGCCAAGAAATATTCGGTATTAACGCAAATTGTCTTCGTTTCTAGGAAGGTATCGAATGATGAAGTGCCTGGAGACACTGTGGGTAGTGAAGCATGTTTTGAAGGATAAAATTGTGAATTTTTGGAGAATGATGCATCGTGGGTTGCTGGAAAGATTATTCCAATCCCCTCTGTCATCACCATACTAGCCCATGACCACGTCGGGGCAACTTCTCTATTCTGCCTCTTCGGTGGCAAGTTAAGAGGACTTGCACTGGTATGTACGTTTTCATACCTCGTAACATCCCACAGTAAGCCTCTCGCAAGATCTTCAGCCCAAAGTCCTCGAAGATATGTAGACATCAATCTAGTGTGGAAGACCTTGGCAATACCTAGCAATGCACTCAATCGATCCGTTTCGTGGCTCAATCTCAGCCTAGAGAATTCCTCCACGGCACGAAGCCAAGTATCGTAGGAAATATCTTGCACGTCGCGAAGAGGGTTGGATGCAATAGAATCGAGTCCAGTACATTCACACCTTAGTTCTTTGCGGCATTCCATGACTAGCTCTGACGAGCAAAAATGCAAGGTTCTTGGTGCTAAATATCGTTCTTGGAAAATCCAGGCTCTTGACAACAATGGCGCCTCCTGCTTCTCTTTACCCCATGAGCCAGTTGTCTCATTTCTCAATATAGTCGGAGTGGAATAGAATTGATGAAGCCCATTGAGCGAATGGCGGACAAATATGCTCTCATCCTCTGGCTCTGGCTTCAGGGGGCCTTTTGCGAATAAAGGAATGGATCGGTGAAGTGGATTCCTAGGTGCCAGACACCCTTTAGAACTATCAGCAGCACCAGTAGCCGCGATGTTCACATAATAATTGGAGTATATTGAAGCCATAAGAACCGATTCATGCTTCCAATCATCCAGAGAGTCCTGGACAATGCAAAGAGAGTCAATCCATATGAATCTCAATCCTAAAGCTCGTACTACGGATATCGCATCCTGAAAGGTAGCTGGGAGATCCGCTTTTCTAATTCCACCATAGAAAGATTTAATAGTAGATGATGTGGTTTGAATGATACGATTAGAGCCCCAGCAATGTGATAACGTTGCGTAGGAGGGGCGATTGGCGCTGCTTGGGAGATCCCTAGTCTCTACCAAATAAATGACATCCTCACTATCAGATATATCCAGAAGTCTCGAGGGCAATTGGCTTGTTGCAGCTATATCGCAAGATGAATGATTCTTACGACAGTTGCTGATCCAAGAATTAATTAGTGTAATATGTGTCTTGGTTGAAATGAATGTAGGAACGTTTCTGGCGATCCCAAGTACGCCAAAATCGCTAATTGTGGGCCTCGAACAAATTCCTCCGACCTCATTATCCCTATCTGCCACAAATAATTGAAGCCTTGAAAAAACTTCATCTCCACCACCATCTTTATCGCGAATCATTTCAATCTCAAGAGGAGCAGACCTTTGCACGATAATCCGGCCGCGCTTGACAGTGGAGTTGTAATGACCGTTGCGATGAAGCGATGCAGCGTCGCGCCGTATAGCTTGAGCACCTCCTCTTATCAAAAAGCAAAATGAACAAGCACGGCTTGATGACATCAATTCCTGGAAGTTGAATGGAAGACTGTATTCAATTTTATCATTACCTACCACATCGACTCGCCATCGAGCGGTTTGGCACATGGGATTTATATTAAGGCAAACACGGCAGGGAAGGCTGGGGGCCATGATACTGACCGGACGAGGCTTTGCATAGGGACCCAGCTACTTATGATGAGAGCCGCTTCTAAATGATTCTAATACCGAAATAAATGTCATTTCTTTTTAAAAGAAGAGAGTCCATGTTAGATTCTGGGATGAATCGTTCTTATATGTATAAAAGCGCTTTCCAAGGCATCAGGAACAATAGGTGGTCAGACTCGGGCACCAAGACATGTGAAGAATGTGGGATTCGTGGGGTTTGAAAGCCTGAATGCTAGCCTCATCACTTCAACCTCATAGGATGAGTACATATAGATATCGGCGAAAAAATTTAAAAGTGTAAAACGGGGAACCTTTTACTCTTGCTTTGAATAGAACGACCGGTAAAGTCAAACTAGGGTTACACGAGAGATGGAGGTTGTGGCCAAATACACATCAATCTATCTTATCACTCTCGCTTCTCAACCGAGCAGGACGTCGAATGGACGACTCGATCACACCCTGCTCTTCACTCAGAAAGCACGTCTCAACTTCGATGAATTCGGGCCAAAAGTTCAATTCCAGTTTAGCTGAATAATGTTCAACTATAACATTACATCCGTGGTCCAACTTCAACACACACCATCTACGCTAGACCCACCAAACTCAGAGTATTTGTCTGCTCGTCTTCGTTGTTGATCTCATCAAGCAGAGTTATACTCAATCTTCGTTGTCATTTGTCGGTTCTATCACCGCCTCGAAGCATGCCTAATTCTGTCAGCCAGTTTTAGGTCCTCGGATCTTTTCATACTTGCCTTTGCGCTTTTTTCACTTCACATTCTGGACAAATCCGGATTCGCCTATCTTCATGTACAGGTTGTTGACTACAGCTTCCGGCCAGACCAAGCTTGCACGTAATCTGTTGTTTCACATGACTGCATGCCCAAAGAGTTCTATGTATCACACACATCACTCTACCGTTCTGGCTTTTTAATTGGTTTGGCCTACGACTTCTCAAGCTAGATCCTGAGAGTTGGGATCTCAATAGGTTGGATTTTGATCCTGCAGAGATATACCGAGTTCGTGACCTCTCAATGATCGGTATCCAGCACTCAGTCAGACGAGGTCGATAGACGGATCAAACTGGAAAAATGCGTATGGATGCTGCTTTCATACCACACACGTTCTTGTTGAGGGCTCTCAGATTTCTGAGATCACTTGAGAATTAGTTGATAGCAGTATCTTTGTTTGATCATCGAATACAACATCTTTAAGGTCGGATTGAAGAGGGAAATATATAAAAACAGTAATGACTGCGGTAATGACGGCGGTGATGACGATGGTGATGGTAATGGCAATGTTGATGGTGATGGCAATGTTGATGGTGATGGTGATGGTGATGGTGATGGTGATGGTGATGGTGATGGTGATGGTGATGGTGATGGTGATGGTGATGGTGATGGTGATGGTGATGGTGATGGTGATGGTGATGGTGATGGTGATGGTGATGGTGATGGTGATGGTGATGGTGATGGTGATGGTGATGGTGATGGTGATGGTGATGGTGATGGTGATGGTGATGGTGATGGTAATAGCGATGGTGACTGAAATAGAGAAGGGGAGCACCGCCCAACCGCCGGTGATTCCCATCTCCATATTTTTTTGATTTTATGAGACTCAGGATGAAGGAAATGGTATAGCGAACTCCCCAAAGCTTGTATCCACCATCTTAAGGTTATCAATTGTACCCTTCATGTATACTTGCATCCTCACCGTCCCCATAACTCGCTTAGCTTCTGGTACCGTCTCCATCCCCATCTCAATCTCCATCTCCATCAACAATCTCCTTACGCGAGATGAGGATGGCCAACACGCACCTCTAGTGCAATTCACGTCAAATTTGTTCTGTGTTTCTTTACTGCATTTCTCACCTCTTCTACATATCGCGGTATGTTCTGGGTTAGGTGTACTATTAGCACCTGCAAAATTTGACAGAGCCATAGCGACATCATCTACGATGAATAGGACAGCAAAATTCTACTATTTGCAGTATTATTCTTATACAAAAACAACACCATTTGTCTCTAAAGCATGTCTTTTAGAACAGTCGAAGAATCTGTAGCCGCTTATGAGAGCGCACCGCCACAGCAGGGTTACCGAGACCCTGGTTCGAACCTCGCGCAACCACCGATATGTGGTGATCAGGTATCGCATTTCTTTGAAAATGATCTGAACAATGCAAATAACTTATCATACAATAATTTTCACGACAATGACCTCGATGATTTGACCATCTGTCCCAATGGCGAACGCCCAATTTACAATCTCGAGTTCGATTATGATTTGTTTGCATGTCAAAATGGGGTGGACGAACTTGCATCCAAACCCACAGCGGGGTCCTTCGATAACCAAAGTCCCTTGCAATGTCAGATCACACCTCAAAGATTGGGTAGCTCTCAGCCGGCTAATGAATCATCGATCGCTGAAGTAAGAGACCGCTCTTTTGATCTTCCTGGACAAGCGGAATATACTCAATCTGAAATGCCAGAGCCGGCCCAAACGCCGATAAATTCGCAACATATACAAACATTATCGAAAGATGGAACAATCCCTGAATCGGATCTTGAGCATCATGGCCTTGAAACACACGTGAGTATATGTTCTGGTTTATCAGATTGCGCGCCACGAACCATTGTATGTTGGGGTAAATCACGACAATGGCTATTCTTCGAATATAACGCTCTTGTAATTTGCAAGAACCTTTTTAAAATTAGTCTCTTGATTTAGTCTCGCGCTTTTTTCTACCTGCACAATAGAAGATCTCCAAACTAATCATGTTTCTTACAATAGGAGAGCAACTTGGAGGGGTCCTTAGAAGTCCACAGGCAGATACTTCCACTTCGACGATCGAGTAGGAATAAGGGGAGTTGTTCAACGGGAGGGGCTGGGACCGTTGCATTCCCTCATCAAACAACAAATGATCTAGAATCAATGGTCCAATGTTCCAGTCAACGCCTAGCTGATTGCCCCGCGAGTCGCAATTCCTCGATTTCTGCTGGTGTCGAATTTACCAGTAACAATTTCCGGAGTAAGCTATTCGACAGAGTATGCGAGACAACATCAGAGTTTGAGGATAAGCCCCTGAACCCATCGTTCGTCGCCTCAGAAATCAGAAATGCTATACAGGATTTCTATCGCGATGCTGGCTTCAGAAGGGAGACTACGAAAACGGAAAGCTTGGTTGGAGCATCTATACTGGAGATTGTTCGAGACGAAGATATACCTTGGAAGAATATGAAGTCTATGAAGATTGCGGAATCAGTCTGTAAGATTTACTCCGAAGCAGGATACGATCAGCCTATACCGCAGAATGTTTCTTCTAGACGACACAACAAAAGAACCGCAATCTCTGATTCGACATCACGAACAAACAGAAACCCCTCAGTCATTTCACGTTCATCTAAGCGTCCTAGCGATTATGAAGGTTCCACGAGTGTCACTTCCTCTCTCAGTAAGCGGCTCAAAGTCTCCTCGGACGAATACAATTGTTATTACGACAATTGTAATGCAAGCGTGGGGCTCAAAGGGATTGGACCCCATAGCAAAATCCACAATCCTTATGAATTTTTCGCTTGCATTGTGCCTGGTTGCCCAAAAATATTCCCGAGAAAGGATACTTTGGACAGTCACCTGAAGACCAAATCTCATGAAGGCTACTTCAAAGGTCTATCGGAGGCTGAATACAACAGTAGATCAGAACGGATCAAGGAGAATACTTTCATAATCACAGATAGAACCCACGACCACTGCACTTTCTGTGAAAAAAAGCTTCCTCGAGGTTCTTGGAAGAAATGCGAGGAGAGCCACAAGCACATCTTAACCCATTTGAGAAAATCTACCCCCTTGGTCTTCCAGCACTTATGTTCGGACAAAGATAAGTGTGGAACAAAGGAACATTGGAAGACTAGCACCTGCATCCAGCCAGAGAATCGAAAGCGGGTTCCGGATGTTAGCACAAACCCACAAGAGAGACCTAATACAAATCGTTATACCCAAGGACCTAGCACTCAAGACTATTATGGTAGCAACGAGAGCTTCAGTGGTGGTGGTTATCCAGGTAACCGGAGCCCGTCTGAATATATAAGTCCATATCACCACATGCAGCCTTCAAGGCTTCGACCTATGCTTGATGCATTGGACCATCCTTCAGATACAGAGTCGGATGTCGCAATGTCGAGATTTCGCGCCGAGGATCCAGATTCCGAGCATCATAACAACTACACAGTTCGGGATCCATCACACGAACCTTTGCGGTATGGAATGTTGGAGTCTTCAGTAAATTTATATGCAACAATCGTGGAGCAACGAGACGACGATACGACGATCTAACCGTCGATGACATGACTCTGATTACATAATCTTCCGTGGGAATGTCACTCGAAGGACGCCTCTTTTCCTTCACTTTTTTCTATCTGGTATTTTCAGCATGGAGTTCTGTGTTATACTTGAATTCTCACGAAACTTTCTTTGATTCATTCCTGGAGATCGAAGAGCATTATATATTCTGGATATGAGTAACGACTGATGAGGTATAGAGAGGTCTAGGCGTCAGTTCGACTCACGGATCAATCAACACGACTTAGAACTAAGAGTTTGAGATATATAAGAAATTATTCCTATAACGTGGTTTATCGGCATGTGGAATATTTAATTTATATAGAGAACTCGTTCGCATGTCTTCGTACACTTTTCTTAGGTGCTTTTCTTTTTTTTTACTGTATAAACATTGTAAATATATAACAAATTTTTTGGATTCGAATCAATATAATAGTTATTATAAAAATAGGGGTTTTCTGCAATGATGGTTTGATTGAGACAGTTAGTTGACGATGGAAGATGTTGTCTCATTCTTCTTACCAGTAGGAGGAAAGCCAGCTATTTATCCCTTGGATCGATGAAATCGACACAAGCTGACGACCTAGGTTTAAAGGAAATTGATGTACGGATCCGGCCCTATGCAGAGCTGATATTTATCTGGATCCATTAGACACACTCTACTTGCGGTCCATCGGGCAAGAGGCTAACAGCAAGGCCACCAAAATCCCTTCCCGTACTCCAGCTCTCGTGCGTGAGATAGCTCCAAATTGCCAGCGGAGCTCGTTAACAGTGTTTTATTGAGTCTTGAAGCAACACGGTATATAGGAGAGAACTCAAACAGTGTTCTTCACAATTTCAAACATTTCTGGATCCAATGCTTCCCCTGCCGTGCGCAACAGAGCGTGACGATACAACTTAAAAGTAAGAGCTTGGCTAGTGTCTATCTAGGTTGCTAATGAGCTCGTATTTTGATGAAGAAAGAACACATCAGCTCTCTTCTAGGGTCTAGGTAGTGTGGAGAGACATCATGAAGCAACATAAGTCTCAAGGCAGCTCAAACCACGACCTCGAAAGTCAGGAAACCAGGCATTCCAGTTGCTCATGTAGTTCAGGGGCTAGCAACAGAATATAGAAAGATCAGTCTACAATGATTATGATGGTGGTGGCTTTGAGCTAACATAGATGAATCTGTAGAAAGCTGCCATCATTGTCAATAAAACGTCAAGTCACCTCATCACATATCGATTTGCCATGAGCAGTGGATTTAGGTACTTTTCATTGCACCACTTATCCTTGCGATACTTTCATATGACGAAGGATCAAGAGGAAATGCTTTCGATTTGTGAGCTGTTCTGCAGTACCAGTAGTGCAACACCATTTTCGACAGCTGTAGGCCTCGATCGAGTTTGAATGTGATTTCCTCAAGAGCCTATTCTCTCAATGTGACAACAGATTATGGTAGCATCCAATGTTTCTTCCTTTATCCAACGTGTAAACCGCTCAATGTGGAAATTAATCAGTTGATTCTTCATAGAAAGCTATCGCCCAATCTACCATAACAGCCTCAGTCCCCACTTGTTCACACCACAAAGCCAGCAACAAAAGATCAGTAGATGTCCCTGATCCCCCTACGTATTTCTTCAGGGCTGGGCTTCAACCTGCAATTCAACGACCAATTTAAGAGGATCAGTTCAATGACGATGAAAGGAAGAATTGCTGATTGTCCAAGTAATCATGAATCTGTTGACATACGAGGTTTTGGTCTAACCCGACGAATTCTCCTGAAAATTCCACGAGGACATGCGTTTGGTTGTGTTTCTGCTGCTCTCATTGGTTGGAACGTCCATTCTACGTCGTCAGTTTTGTCGGTAAACACTAAATACAACGTCGGGGAGAATTCGAAAATGCAATGATGGCGATGCGGAGCATTACTCTAAAAGCAATTACGTAACATAGCGATTGTGAACCCTTGTATACAAATTCATACGAGGTCTCTTGGCAAATGCCTCGAGCGCGGAGAAATGACATTTTCCGCAAAGTGCGGTCCTTGAATACAGCAAAAAGCCGCTAGACTCAGCGAAAAAGAACATCAACAGCCTCCCCTTTCACGCCTGGCTCTGTAGATGAGGAAGAGCCATGAGAATTGTCAGCTTTGGGGAGACAAATTGGGACTGGTCAATTTGTAGAAGCAAAAGTATGTCACACTGCGGATACACCTGCACTTGATGTAAGTGGCATTGTCAAAGGGGGGTTGACGTGTAGACCAGACAGCCGAAGTGTCCCCAGGTACGAAGATGTGGTGTCTCGCTGAAAAGGCTCTTATGATGTACTTGGCAGATGAAGCGGAAACTATAACGCAGTGAGCGGAATGAGAATCCTCTGAGTACTCGGTAAGCGGGTAGAATCCAGAAATAGCCCAATGTTCGTTTTGCGGGGCTGCGGGAGCCGACGAGCCGATCGCGATCTCTGCCCCTATTATAGATCGCCCCGCCTATTTGTTTTCATTCCGAGGTGCCAAGCGTGCATATTGTGGATTATCGTGGCTGAGTTAGGAGCCGTAAAAATTTAGAGTTTGTCTGCCGTTGACGTTGTTGTATTCTGGAATATGAACTGCCAAAATTTGAAGCTTAAATTTAACGTTATCAATAAAGTAGGTATTCATATACTCCACATTTTGACATGCAGAAACTATCCACCGTGAGCCTCTTTGAGGTTCTCGGAAGGCCACTGGCAAGCCTACAAGTACGAGGCCGGAGTGAAATACGAGAGACAGCAGGAGAAGTATACGTCGTATGGAGGTTCAACTAATCGGTCTACGTTGGGATCGAATTGGAACATCGATTAAGATGATGGTACTGCAGTGCTAAGCAACTACTGTTTAGCCAATCCACTTTTTACATCAAAACTCGTCATTTTGGGTACATTTTTATTTTTATGATTAATGGTTCGATACTAATAAGTGTTGTAAAAATCGGATTACCACACCTCTCGTATAGGACTCAATACAGGGTCGTCATGGCTTATCAATATTATATTAACTGAGTGACAATATTGGATATCCGAATTATAGTGAACCAAGACCAAGGTTGTGGAGATGTTAATGGATCAGCACCAGTTGTGTCCCCACGAAAATAAATGGATATTATAGGGGTTCATCGTATATATAAAGAGGTCCTGGAATTCAAACAGCATTCAAATCATCACTCAAATCATCATCAACAGCTTCCAACTCACTCATCATTTCACTACACACATTCAACTATTCTATCAATCCAACAACTTCCATACATCAAAATGTTCTCCAAGACTCTCATCGCAACTCTCCTCGCCAGCACTGTTGCTGCTAGCCCTATCGCCGCTAGCACAGCCAGCACTACCTACACGCTCCGTACTTTCCCAACTGGAGCAGGCTCGATCTTTCGAGGCTTGGAGATCAGTGCCGACAGCGGGTTTCTTTGGGTTGGAAAACCTACACCAGGTAAGCACAAACATGTTTCTATACAGAGGGTTTGAAACAAGCTAACAGGTATACAGCCGTTCAATTCTCTTTCGATAACGGACATGTAAACATCCAAGGAGGACAAGAGTTGTATCTCCTCGACAATTCAATCGCATATGCTGCTCCAGAGGCCAGCCCCGCATTTGATGCAGATTGGGCGTTCCAAGCCCCTTACAGTGGTCCAAATGTCTCCGTTGGATTGTTGACATACCCTGGCTTCACCTTCTGGGCTTGCTCAACCTCCGAGGCTGATGTCTATTCTATCGCTGTTTTCCATTCCGATGCCCGTACTTACCCTGTTGGATGCGAGGAAATCCAATTGATTGCTCAGTAGATGGTAGCCGCTTGGGGGTACCTTCAAATTGGTAGGGCCAATCTATGGCCAAATTTGTAATATTTAATAATACTTCAGAGGGGAGTTAATACAGCACGAGCAGTTATTTGAAGAAGGGAATTTCGTGGTAGCATCTTTGTACCTCGAGATATGGATTAAGAAAAGAACTCAACCGCAATTCATAATTATCCCTATTCCAGCTCAAGTCTATTGCTAAACGATTCATCGTGCTAAACACTGCTTCCAACCATGTGACAAAATTTAAAGCTTTAGTCAACAAGCAGAGCTCCAGTTCCTGAGTTCTCCAAGCTCCTATATTAGACGCAAGAAGTTGAGGTGTTCGATGGTTTGATTGAGGAATGACATAAATCATAGTATTAGACGAGGGCTCTATCTAATTTACATCGGGATCTGAGTCTAAAATGTGGTTGGTAACCTATTTGAATTGAAAGGAAGCCATCGTAGCATTTTATTTACCTTGGGCGCAAATTATAGTATTTGATTGGAGTGTTTTTATGATTGGTGGTTGGATTTCCGTGGTTTTTTTTTCATGGAGCGTCTTTTAACCTTATTAATACCTACACGAGCTACATCAACAACCTTCGTAGGCATGCACGAAGTACCCGTGCACATGTTGTATATGTCACGTGACCTAGCTGTCGAGATCCATCAAGTCGAGATTGATGGTTGAGTTTTCCAGCGGACGAACCTCACTTACTCCTCAATAAACTCGTCAAAGTCTTTGAAGTATCGTTTAGATCATCAATAACTAAGGCCTTGTCAATCATTCCATCTTCAAACTTTCACAGATTCAAGATGTCGTTGCCAGCTTTCGAAAGAGACGTTGAATTGGACGATTGAATGGCCTCGGTACCTTCCATCTCAGAAATTAGACGAAACACGCTGGAAAATGTTGTGGGCTCCGGCTCGGTGGGTAAGTGAAATCAACTCATCATCTGGAGAAAAAAACCGATCGGAGGGCCCCGGGGGCTGCAATGTAAAATGGCAAAGCTAACCTAAATTCTCAGGCACCACAATTAACATCACACCCAATCAACTGAACGGTTGTCCTCGCGTTGAACAATCAACAACTGCCTCAACTACCTTTCAAAATTTAAATACATCGGGAGATAACTATGTTGCAAATGCCACATCGTCGTCTCATCCCTTTCACAACAATGTGAACTCAACGTTGTTTTTAGGCTCTGAGTATCTAGAATTGGAACTCCCTTCAACACCTGAGCATGTTAGCTCCTTCATCTACACAGAACTTCCATCACTTCAGCACGCCACCTTATCGACTGTCTCTTCAGACAATTTTCAATCGGATAGCTTTCAGCATAACACCACAAGCGATTTCCAATATGCAAATTCTGTGAGTTCATGTTTAGGTTATGTTTCGTCTAAATGATTCGAGGGTACATCTCGGGGAATCTCAGTAGGGTGAAATATTGAACCACAAAAAGGGGTACCGAACTAGATAAGCCATTAGGCCATTCTTCAAGGTTCTAGACCTAAGTCATAGCTCTGCTATTTACTCGACCGTTTCCATTGACTTCTGAATGTCTCATCTACTTCCATCAACTCAGAGATTCCCCACACTAATAACAACAATCCCTTACAGAATCCTTTGCCGAATCACCCCTCGTTCTCGATTAGCCAGGGAAATGCTCATCATCCGAACTTCTCGACTATCTCCCAAAACAATCATGCTGCGAAGTTATGCATACGCTCGAATCACGAAATTGCAGATGAACTATTTACTTTGATACGAACAAAATTGATAGAGGGGGAGAATGTCTCTATGGAATACAAGCCCTCGCTTGTGAAAGATTCTATTAAATTCTTCTATCGCAGACACGCGTTTGGCCCATCAGAAACTTTGGAATTCGGTCTGTCTATTCGCAAGTTCATTCGAGAGATTCTTCTAAATATTCGGATTGGAGACAGGGAAGAGAAGAGCTCCTGTATACTAGAGGCAGTTGATGAAGCTTACTATGAAGAAGGATGGCGTCTCCACAGTACTGTGGAGAGCGGTCTCTCGAATAATGATCGCAATCTAGGTCATGATGCACATGTTCCCCCCGAAGCCCGATCAACGACGGCTTCTCAATCATTTTTTGATCCCTCTCCCTCCTCCAGCCAATCTTTTGTTTTCACGTCACCTTCAAGCTCTCGCTCAAAAAATCGTCCAACAAAAGATCACCTCTCCACCAAAGCACCAAGTCTTCAATCCAAAAGACAACGCCCCACTTCCTCCAAACCCTACAAGTGCTACTGCAACAAACAATTTGCCTCTCTGAAAGCTCTCCGCAAACATTCCAACACACACAATCCCTGTCAATTTATCGCCTGTCCTGAACCCTCCTGCACCCACCTATCTCTCCGAATAGACAGTATAGAAGATCATCTCAAAACGCACCACATTGACATCACCCGTCTTCCTCCGTTCGAGCGTCACCAAAAACGCGAGGAGCTAAAACAAAACACCTTTCTGATACTAGATTGTACGCACGACCGTTGTGTTGTCGCGGATTGTGATCGAAGATTTCCGAGAAATGACCTAGATGGTTGCAAACAGAGTTTGGCTCATATTCTGAGTCATTATAAAGATAAGCATAACTTGCCGACTTCTTTTAGACATGCGTGTTCGGATGATGTGATGTGCAGTGGTAAGGAGGCTTGGAGAAATAGTGTATATGTTACCGGAAAACGGATTCAAAAGCTGGAACAGCATGGTATTGAAGATATAGATGCGGAGCTATAATGGGACAGGAGAACGGAAAGGATGCTGTTTCTTAGTACTCCTTAATTAGTACTCCGAACCTTAGAAACTAAAGCAAGGAAGGACATTACAGGAGTTTAGATGATATTTGATATTCATTACTTGTGTTTTTATAAATCATATATTCTATGATATGCTTGATATATAAAGTCATTTCAATCAATAAATAATTGTTTAAATACTCGAATATTATAATTATTTATTATATCTATTATATTTATTATATTTAAAATCTCAAAATCTCAAAATCTCAAAATCTCAAAATCTCAAAATCTCAAAATCTCAAAATCTCAAAATCTCAAAATCTCAAAATCTCAGAATTCTCCAAAACTTTACCATCTCCTTTTAGACTTCCCATAACAATTCCCATATCACACATTAGCAAGCTCATTAATAATCCACCTCTACACTCCCAACTCGCAATTCCGCGTACAAGATATCGAGACATCAATATGTAGACCAGGTACAGACAGACCACAGAGATACAAAACATTGTGCTAAAGGATAACGGCCATTATTTAAGTAACTAACATAAGGATCTCAATCCAATCATATATAAACATTCAATCCTTTTACTTTATAATCCCCAAAAACTACAAAGTTTTCTACTAATAATATATAACCTATAACCCATAACTCATAACAACCAAAACAATCAAAACACCGCCCATCCATCCTATTCATCTATCCATTCATCCATCCCTCCATCCATCCACCCAGTCAAACAAACAAAACAAAACAAACAAACAAACAACATCTCACACCCCACACCATACTCAAAACCCCAGTCCAATCCAGTCCAGTACACCTCCACCTCCACACTCCAATACCAGGTTTGCGTAAGTTCCTATGGAATGGAGAAACTGTAGTGCAGACACTCATCTCACGTTTTACGGGTTTAATTGTGATACTACCATTAACTTTACAAAGGTAGGTGGGAAGTAGTGTAGATACAAATGCAACTTTTTCACACACTTGCATGCGGTAAGTCTGACATGGCCACTTGAATGGAATCACCTTACACCTCACATACCTCACAACCACAAAATCAATGGTTAAAGCTCAATGCAATAGAACATAAAGAGTGTAATAACGCTTTTGTTCTATTCTAAACGTATTGCCGTGGTCTAGTCTAGTCGAACTTAATCTAAACCATCTATCCAGACTAGTCCATATCGCTCTATGTACACCAGAAGATGCAACCAACCAGCTAATCTATCTCTAAAAAGAAGGATATCTTTCCCCGTGATTCCAAGATCTAATTTGAACCTATATATCTTGGGTCTGGTATCGTGTTGTGACCCAAGTATCTTCTTAACTCGCAAGCGAAAACTCCCCAACTCCATCCACCAATGCACGTGGTCAATTATATCCACAACTCTTCATGTCAAACATCTCATCCCCTATTCCCTATTCACTCCCCCATAACTTCAGCCAAAAGAGGTAATCCAGCCTTTGCTCTCTCTTGAACACTTTGACTCAATCTTCTTCCTGCATTCATGTTTCTGCTAGTGCTCATTGCTGTAGCCATGGAGCCAACTGGTACGACCTTTGAGACTGTTGGCTTCTCTGACTTAGCAATAGAAGCTTGACCATTAGTGAGATCCTTAGCGTGAACTTCTCCCTCTCTGTTGTACAAGTTTCTGTACATGAAGACACCACTTCCTTCCATACCCTCGGATTCTTCGACGAATTTGCATGTACGTTGGTTTCTCCAGAAGGCGGTCCAGAAAGGAGTCTTGACATCGGCTTTGTAATGTTGACCCATAACTTTCTTGATGTGTTGGCTTGCTTCTCCGGCGTGGTAGAATGGGATGGTGGAGACCAAGTGATGGCAAACGTGGGTACCGATGATGTCATGGAAAAGATGGGTATCAATGAAACCGAGATCACGATCGATAGTAGCGGTTGCACCACGGGCGAAATTCCAGGTATTGTTGTTGTAATGGGGCATGGATGCGTCGGTGTGTTGAAGGAAGGTAATAGCAACTATGAACATGTGTTAGTTTCAGGTAATTGAAAATCGTAAGATAAAACGTACCAATCCAGTTGTTAACCCACAACCATGGAACACCCCAAAGAACAATGACATTGAAGCTTCCGAAGACTTGACCAGCCCAGATCAAAGCGGCAATCATAACAGCAACACCGACGTCACTCAAGGCGATCAAAGGCAACTCGTGCTTCTTGTAAAAGACACTGTCTTCTCCGAAATAGAAGTGAGAGATTCTCATTCCCTTGGCACCATCGTAATCTTGTCCAGTCAAGTTGGCAATCAAATAACCTGGCCATCCAAACAATTGATGAATGAATGCATGGTAAAGCGAGTAAATTGGGGAATCTTCTGCCAATTCAGCAAACTCGATCATATTGGCCTTGGCCTTCTCTCCAAAGTTTCTCTGAATCCAACCTTCTCTGGTGTGTGGAACGAAAGCAGTATCCTTATCCATGTTTCCGGTAGCTTTGTGATGTTGAGAGTGGGAAAGTCTCCAGGAGTGGAATGGCACAAGTAAGAAAGAATGCATGATCAATCCCATAGTCCAGTTCAATCTCTTGTTCTTGCTGAAAGCACCGTGTCCACATTCATGTGCCAAAATCCAGATACCGGTGAAAACGAATCCTTGAACAGTGGTGTATGCGACCCAAGCGGCGAATCTAAGGTATGGATTTGGAAGCATTGGGATGAAGGTAAGGGCGAGGTAGATGAGGGTAGAGACGTAGAAGTAATCGCGGACAACGTATGCCATTGATCGAATGATGGAGGGTTTGAAGCAATGAGCTGGGATAGCATCGTAGATTTCCTTCATGGTATAATTTGGGAGTTCAAAGACATTTCCATGCATGTCAAGATGTTGAGGTTGCTTTTCCTCAACGAGGGTGTTGCTCACAGAGGAGCGAGTTGTGGGTGCCATGTTTGCGAGTTTGCTTTTCACTCAATTCGATTGTTTGAGGAGATGTGTGTAATCGTTTTCATAAAATAAAAAGACTAGTGGAAGGGAATAATTGAGAAATCTTGGTTTATTCTGTCAAGGTAATTCTTCCTTTTACTCTTTGTGCGTGTTGTCAAGAGATGGATAGAACAAGGGTATCAGAAAGTCACCTTTCGAGACAGTAGTAAGAATATTCCAGATTCCTAAAACTTCTTCTCCAATGAGACAAAGAGAGAAAGAGGGATTTGGGGAAAGATTTCAAAAAGAGGGAAAAGATGAAAGAAGGATTGGAAGGAGGTGCAGAGGAGGGAAGGTGGGAAGTTTATATATATGATGTTAAGAGATATAAAATTTCTTAGCTTTGGCTAGCTACTCTTAGCTTCGAGTCTTGGTGGAAATGATTGAGGCAATTCATATGAATACCTATCTATACCTGGTACCTACCTGTTTTAGTAGTAACAGTAGTAAACGTAGTAAAAATAGTAAAATAGTAAAATCATTCACTTACCATATACCGAGTACACACACCCATACACACATACACGCACACACACACACACACACACATACACATACCGTACACACACAGATCACACAAACACCCACCGAGCCACCACCACCACATGTAAATTTTGAAGAGAAAATGCCAAATGCCAATTGAACCCTTAAACACTTAGCGTGAACCAAATCTTCCATCTTCCTTGATATTTCTCCATATTATTTTTACTTTTCCCGCTCAAAACCTTCGTCTCCACTTTAAGGATTCGGTAAGAGCAGTGATAGTGGAGATCTTTACTCCTCAACAGTTTTTGAGAATCCATGCTAACTTCATTCGGCGTAGTTTCTGATCAGGTCCAAATACATATTTATATTCATCAATTTATCTCGATTTACCGTAATTCTTCGTGCAATTGAACCGTTTTCATTGGATTCGATAAGAGACGTTGTCAGCATTTATCCGCCTGAGACGTGGTGGGATGATAGGAATGAGATTGTAGCAAGAATAGCCATCAGATCAGATCAGATCACAATACAGTAAACACTTACTTGGGCAGGAAGGAGCGCCGGCGGAGGAAAGAGCAAGGCAGCTGGGCAGGTACATGCTCAGACAGATACATACCTGTCTAGGAACTCTTTCCATGATTGAAACATCTCCAACGTCTATCTTTACCATCAATCGTCAATCGTCAATCGTCAATCATCATTGTCAGTATCATGCCATCCTGATACATCTCCACTGATTGTCCATCCACAAATTCCTTTTCTTACCCACAATCAACTAACTGTACAACGGTACAAGTTACGGCCCCTAATCAATAAGGGAAGCGATACTTGTGTTGGCATTGGCGTTGGTACATATTGGTATTGGCACATCTAGCATCTTTTCAGCTCCCGCGTTAATTCTCTTCATTGACCAGAGAGGTGCGGCTTGTTGCTGATTGTTGCTGACTGTTGTAGGTGATTATCTTCTCGTAAAGATTAGTCGTACGAGATGTCATCTTCATCTTAACCTACCTTCTCCTTTCCTTGATTCTGTGCAACATCCTTTCACATGTCAAATAGACGGTCTTGGTATTACCTTCACCCTTTCACCGTTGTCGGTTACAGCAAGCCCTCAATATCTTCTTCCACAATGCACATACTTCAACGACCACCATTCATGGTTCATCCATCCATTCAATCAATCAAATAGATTACATATAACCATCCAATCAAATGCTTTCCATCAAAAACTTCCTCTGAATCAAATTCAATCAACACATCCATCCATGATCCATCACTCTACCCTGGTGGATCTAATGCAGGGTCCTTCTCCATCTATCAATCTTCGGCATATTTTCTCAATTCGGCTAGTGAACGAAGGAACACTTCACCAAGATCTCGACCACCCCTTGACTCGCTGATCCCAGCCTACGAGCTTTTGATTGGCTCGTCTATCAGAGAGAAATCCATGAGCTTGGCTATAATGTGCTTTACGCGGTAGTGATGTGTTTTAAATGGAGTTTAGCAGCCAGATCATCAGGGGCTTCGACTTCCGACTTCTAGAAGAAG